CAGAGAAAGATTGATTCTACCAGCAAAATAGAAGATGGATATCAAAGAAGTAGTAGAGCTCGAATGAAGTCGTGGTCCGCTTGCACAAGGAGGCGAGGGGGACGAGCAGCGACAGTGTAGTTGCGGTTGGGCAGCTGGCGGAATTAAAGCAGGCCGAAGACAGCAATTGTGAAGTGAAAGTGTCAGTCCCTGCGACATGTGACCATGGTTCGGCGGATATGTTGATCCGTCGCGCCCTCCATCGGAACATAAGGTCACGTGCATGATTCAACGCGGCATGTAAGCCGAACCATGGACGTGTTGTGGCCAATCAAAAACCATCGCAGCGCGTTTGTTAGCAAGGGCAGAGGCATTCATTCTTCTCTCCACACCCTCTCCTCCATATCTTTTTGCCCTCCTCAACCTCATCTGCCTGACAACTCTACTTGTGCCTGCGCGCGACGTTGCCATCGTGTCTTTTCTCTAACTCGCGCAGCTTCGCTATCCTGCCTGTTTCAGCCATCAGTAGTCGCGTCTGAACTATTTACATTGACTGAAAAGAAACTATTCCTCCGCCGCGGCCGTGGCGGCCATCACCCCTCAACCAAGTCCACCATGGCTCCCTCAAAGTCACAACAACCCGACTCCGAAACCTCCTCTGTCGCGGATACTCCAATGACTGAAGGTCCCGGGTATGTACGCCCTCACAGACCTTCTTTTGGTCACCTCAATCGCCCAGTAGACGATACCCCCGACTACACCGACTCTGATACAAATCCCAATACTACAGCCTCTAGTGTGGCTGGAGATACCCCTCAGGTTGATGGTCGCAAGAGACGCTCAGAAGCATTTCAGCTGCGGAAAAGCATCCTAGGAAAGAAGCATGGGCAATTGGACGAGTCCAAGGAAGATGATACCGTGCGACGATTCAAGTACTTGCTGGGTTTGACCGACCTCTTCCGCCACTTTATCGATGCCAGCCCCAACCCCAAGATCAGAGAAGTGCTACAGCAGATTGATCAAGAGAATGCTGAAGAGGAGGCAAAGGCCCGCAAGGTCGTGTCCCGCAAAGGCGGTGCGGCAGGTGCAAACAAGCGAAAGACTGAACAGGAAGAGGATGCTGAACTCCTCAGAGATGAGAAGCGTGGCACAGCTTCCCAGACTGTCTTTCGAGAGTCACCGGCCTTCATTAAGGGTGGCGAGATGCGCGACTACCAGGTTGCTGGTCTCAATTGGCTTATTTCTCTTCACGAGAACGGTATTAGCGGTATCCTCGCTGATGAGATGGGTCTCGGTAAGACGCTGCAGACCATTTCCTTTCTCGGGTATTTGCGACATATCTGCGGCATAAAAGGTCCACATCTCATCACGGTTCCCAAATCCACCTTGGACAACTGGCATCGAGAGTTCAAGAAATGGACCCCTGATGTCGATGTGCTGGTTTTGCAAGGTGCAAAGGATGACCGTCATGCCTTGATCAATGAACGACTGATTGACGAGAAATTTGATGTCTGCATTACGAGCTACGAGATGATTCTCCGAGAGAAGTCTCACCTGAAGAAATTTGCGTGGGAGTACATCATAGTCGACGAAGCACATCGAATCAAGAACGAGGAGTCCTCACTTGCACAGATTATCCGAATGTTTAGCTCCCGGAACAGATTGCTTATCACTGGCACTCCCCTTCAGAACAACCTTCACGAACTATGGGCTCTTCTCAATTTCTTGCTTCCTGATGTATTTGGGGACTCTGAAGCCTTTGACTCTTGGTTCTCTAGTCAGAATGAAGACCAAGACACAGTGGTCCAACAGCTTCATCGCGTTCTAAGACCGTTCCTGCTTCGAAGAGTGAAGAGCGACGTCGAGAAGAGCCTGTTGCCAAAGAAGGAGGTGAATCTCTACGTCGGCATGTCCGAGATGCAAGTCAAATGGTACAAGAAGATCTTGGAGAAGGACATCGACGCCGTCAACGGTGCCGGAGGCAAGCGGGAATCAAAGACGAGACTTTTGAACATTGTCATGCAGCTCCGAAAATGCTGCAACCATCCCTATCTGTTTGAAGGCGCTGAGCCGGGTCCTCCCTACACTACGGATGAACATCTCATCTACAACTCTGGCAAAATGATCATTCTAGACAAGATTTTGACCCGAATGAAGGAAGAGGGAAGCCGAGTCTTGATATTCTCCCAGATGAGCAGAGTGCTAGACATTCTCGAAGACTACTGCGTTTTCCGAGGTCATAAATACTGTCGCATTGACGGCGGAACTGCACATGAGGACCGAATTGCCGCCATCGATGAGTACAACAAACCAGGCTCGGAGAAATTCGTCTTCCTTCTCACTACCCGAGCAGGCGGTCTGGGGATCAATTTGACCTCAGCCAACATTGTCATTCTCTATGATAGCGATTGGAATCCTCAAGCTGATCTTCAGGCAATGGACCGAGCACATCGAATTGGCCAGACGAAGCAAGTCATGGTCTTCCGATTCGTGACAGAGAATGCTATCGAAGAGAAGGTCCTCGAAAGAGCTGCCCAGAAGTTACGCCTGGACCAGCTTGTCATTCAACAAGGGCGTGCTCAACAGCAAGTCAAGCAGGCCGCTTCCAAAGATGAATTATTGACCATGATTCAACATGGCGCGGAGAAAGTATTCGAAACAAAGGGTTCAACCGGAGCACTCGACGACATTGATGAGATTCTGCGACGTGGCGAAGCTCGAACGGCAGAGCTCAATGCGAAATATGAGAAGCTTGGAATTGACGATCTTCAGAAATTCTCCTCCGAGAATGCTTATGAGTGGAACGGCGAAGACTTCACGAACCGTCGAAAAGACATAAGCCTGCACTGGATCAATCCAAGCAAGCGTGAGCGAAAAGAACAGTCCTACTCGATGGATAAGTACTACAAGCAGGCTTTGTCAACGGGTGGTCGACCTGCCGATACCAAACCTAAGATTCCACGAGCGCCGAAACAGGTCGCTGTGCACGACTGGCAATTCTTCCCTCCAGGTCTCCAAGAACTGCAGGAAAAGGAGACAGCGTATTATCACAAAGAAATCGGCTTCAAAGTACCCCTCACAGAAGGAACGGAAGAAGATTTGAGCGACCGCGAAGCAGATCAGCGACTGGCTCAGAATGAGATTGACAACGCGGAGCCACTAACGGAGGAAGAGAAACAGCGCAAAGCAGAGATGCAGGAACATGGATTTGGCAACTGGAATCGCCGCGATTTCCAACAATTCATTAATGGTTCGGCTAAGTTTGGCAGAACAAATTACGAATTAATCGCGACTGAAGTTGACAGCAAGGAGCCGGATGAAATCGAAAAATATGCCAAGGTCTTCTGGAAGAGATACACGGAAATTGCCGAGTTCGACAAATATATCAAGAACATCGAGGCAGGTGAAGAAAAGTTGCGAAAGACGGAACGTCAGCGAAAGATGCTGCGGAAGAAGATGGAGATGTACCGAGTACCGCTGCAACAACTGAAGATCAACTACACGGTTTCCACGACCAACAAGAAGGTCTACACCGAGGAGGAAGACCGCTTCCTGCTGGTCATGCTTGACAAATACGGTGTTGACGGTGAAGGGTTGTACGAGAAAATCCGTGATGAGATCCGGGACTCGCCCCTTTTCCGGTTTGATTGGTTCTTCCTGAGTAGAACGCCCGTTGAGATTGGCCGGCGATGCACCACCCTGCTCAACACCGTATCCAGAGAGTTTGGAGAAGCCGAGGAGAAACTCACAAATGGCCATGGCCCAGGGAAGGGACGAGGTCGTGATCGGGATGACGACGAAGATGAGGAGAACGACAGCGAAGCTGCGCCTGTGAAAAAGAAGGCAAAGAATGGCATTGTGGTATGTACCAGTTAGCAGGCGTTGCTCAGCTCCGACTAACAGTTCTACCAGAATAAACAAGTCAAGGCTGTCAAATCTGGTCGTGGCAGCAAAACGACTTCTCCGGCACCTTCTCGAGCGCAGAGTGTCTCATCTACGGCGGCGCCAGCCCATCGATCAAAGGGAAAGAAGAAATAAGACAGATCGCCAGCATTATTGGATTTCTCGGGTGAGCTTTGCTACATTTCTGCGGTTATGACCACACGTTTTACCAAGATGTTACGGGGTTGTCGGTTACTTGATGGAAAACACTGCATTACACGTATGTCTTCCATGGAAGGAGTGTTGATAGAGCGACCGGGGATCAAAACATTGGGCTGGTTCTTGTCAAGCTATGCAACGGCGCGATTGGGACGGTTAGCGTTGTGTGTGTGACGAATTCGGCACAAACACGGCGCCTTTTCAGCATCAATACTGCACATAGTGGGGATGGCATGTTGTCTTTGAGTATTCTAGGGCTGGACAATCACAATGCAGAGGGCACGGGACATCCCCTCCGAGGAGGCGAGGGCTGTGTAGTTCAGTAGTCGGATGAGACAGGAAGAACAATAACGATGGAAAACAAGTCTAAAAGGCCAGATAGACGAAGCCTTTTGAAAATGCACTGTAAAAGCAAAGGTCTTTCTGTCCCTGTTTCCCCCTTCCGGTTGGATGTGTAAAATTAGAGAAGAGATACATAACAACATGGTTAAGAGGATCGATGCCTGCATGCGACGCGACTCTTACGTTATGCTGGTCGCGATATACGAGGTACGGAGGAGCGTATATGATACAGCAGATGCCAGAAAGAAGGGATCATTTTGCCCGTCCCTTCTTCCACCCGCTTTCGCTGAGCTTACGTGACTTTACGTGACCTTGCTTGACCCGAGCGGACCTGACGTGTGAGAGCCTTGTGTCATTATTTTCGTGTTTGGGCTTTGACTACGGCAGTGTGTGAGGCGTGCTTGGACTCTGGAGAAGATCAAGGGGAGAAGCATCCCTGGTTTTCCTCCTACTGCTCCTGCTGCTCCTCCTATCACTCCACGCTCCAAGAGCGAACGAAGCCACGGCACCAAGATCTCCCCACCGACCTGCTCTGCTCAGAGGTTGCGCGACAACGCGCAATCAGGCAAGCAAGAGAGATGTCGTCGGCCCATAATATCCCACTGAAAACCCTCTCGGCGCTGCGCATGCTGGTCGGGGCGTCGTGCCTGCTCGTCCCGCGCCAGGCTGGCGTGCTCTTCGGCATCCCGCTGGCGCCGGGGGGCGCGGAGGCGGTGCTCCTGGGCCGCATGACGGGGGTCCGCGATCTGGTTCTGGGCGCGTACCTGTGGAAGAGGGTCCGGGAGTGCGACGGGGAGGTTGGGAAGAAGAACGAGAAAGAGGGCGAAGAAGAGACTGGTACCGGCGAGGACGATCCTAGCAGGACGCCATTGCTGTTCAGCAAGTTCTCGTCCGGTACCACCATCACTGCTATCCAGAAGGACCGCAAAGAGGACAGAAACGCAGCAGCATCAGCTAGGGACTCTGTGTCCCAGCCGCCCGATCTCACCGCGGGCCTCGAACACGGTCAGGGCCCAGACGGACCTACCACGCTAGCTGGTCTGCGCCTGGCTCAGCGCGAATCTGCCCTGCGCTCGGCAGTCTGGCTCGGCCTGATCGTCGACACTATCGACATGGCCAGCGTCATTTTCTGCTCTCTCGAAGGCAATCCGCTCTCTGATCTCGCCAAAGTGACCGTGGGTGGAGGCGCCGCGGTTTTTGTGCTGATAGCGGCACAGTATCTCGTTGCCCACAGGCGAGGCTGAGTGAGACTGAAAGGCGAGAGCGTGGAAATTCCTGTTGTATTTAGTATAAGAACTTTGGGGAGGGAATTTGATGATGTTGAATTTGGGGGGAATAACAAGCTGTTTGTGCCTGAAGAGCAAACCAAAAGGGACTCGGGCGAAATATCCTGGTATGCTCGATTGCGTAATCTATACTGTTGTTCGCCATTGCGCCATTCTTAACCTCTTTCTTGCCCACCCCTCGATACCTAGTTCACGTAGACAACCGGAGAGTAGGGATTTTTGGCCACCTTGTCGTTGCTCTTGCCCTCAGGGTCTCCTCTGCTCATCCGTCCTCGACTTGTCCGGTAGACACCTCGGCTGGCATCCACGATCGGGTTGATCCACAGCTTCTCGCCTCCCTTTTCGGACGCCGCAACGGGCCGGGTCGTCATGCCCAGGCCAGTTGGGTGATAATTGATATAGATGCCCTCCCATCCCTGGCGTTCAGGCAGAGCAAAGATTTCATGCATGATACCGATGTGCTTGTGCTTCGACACCGTGTCGTTCCACCAGTTCCAGGCATCGCGATGGATCGGGGACAAAGCGAAATTGTGAATGTCTTCAACCGAGCGCCAGTACGAAATGGTAGCGAGTTCATTGCCCGTGGACCGCTCACCACCATTGATCCAGGTCGACATACCCATGACTAATGAGAGTTAATGGGGAAGATATGCAGGAAGCGGTGGAAGACACTCACAACCGCTTTCTTCTCGAGTATCCTCTAATTGCACAAGCATGTCCCGGAAGCGATCGGCAACTTCTTTGTAGCCTAGAACATCAAAGTGTTAGGGCCGATCGATTCTGTGAGGGAGGGTCGATGCTCACCGTCAGCAAACATCCCCATTGGTGAATTGCTTCTTGCTCCTAGAATCATGACCGCACGTGGACCGTTTTCGCCCGGATTTCCATGAATCACCTCTGTCTCTCCCTCGGAAGGATATCCCACGCTCCATTTTCCGTCAATGACACCCTCAGCCCAAACATTCCTCTTTAGACCGAACTGCATGAGGAAAGCGTCGACAATGTTCCATCCCAGGATGAGTAGAACAGGGAAAGCAACATAAGAGCGAGGGAAGATGAAAGAGAGAAGGATTTGGATGGCACCACCCAAGAGGAGCCAGGTTGAGATGGAGAAGTTGTCCTTGAGAAGCTAGAAGGGCGTCAATTCCACCGTGCCGTGGAAGAACAGAAGAATACCTGTAGAAAACGACCTACAGCAAGGTCAGATCCACTGTAGGGACCGAAGCCGGTCTTCTTGCCAGGTCCAACTTTATTTGCAATGGAGTATTGTGATCGCGGCTTCTGGCTCGAAGCTGGAAACAGTGTCTTGATGCCCATGTTGGGTTGCGCGTTGTGCAATGGTTGTCGCGACAGGAACGTGTTGACTCCGTTGAGATGTACGGGTCAAGTTGATAGTTAGGTCGGCCGAGAATGGATGGAAGGGGAAAGGATTGGTGTATAAGAAGTCAGAGAGCCGGTACACCACCTTGGTTATTATTCACTTGGTGAAAGCGTGTCGCATCGTGTTGTCACGCATCGGGGGCCGCCTTAGTCTCAGAGTAAGATAGGCTACTGGTTAGATCACTTGCCTTGTAGGTAAGATACGGCGGCCTAAGTGCTGGTGCATCGTATCCACTGAAGCTAAACATGTTGCGCACGTAGCCAGGGCATGAATCCATCTCACCTCATAGGCAGTTGTACAGGGTATAATATGTGGCTGGCTGCTTTGAGCTGAAGAACTTTGATCGGCGGCTCAGCACCGCTTAGCGAACGTGAAAGCTAAGCGCAGCTTCGTGGGCCGCCGTTTGTTGCCCAGGGGCTTTGCCAGGTTCGCACAGAAGGACCTGAGTTCACAGAACCCTTATCGAGGTAAATGTTCATCAGGCCTCCACTGACTCCAGAGCCGGAGCGTTTTTTCGGTGTGTGTGTTCTGGGAGCGAATCAGGCGGAAAGACACCACTGCACGGCTGAAGAGGCTGCAGCTGGCCGTATTCCGGCGCCCACAAGGCAACAATGTCCCGTTCCTTGTTGGTCTGGACGATCAGGTCGGGGTACATTTTTCAGCTCGCTTATACAACGTACCGTGTATCGACGTGCCCACGACTGATTTGGGTATGATGCTCTTTCCGCCCTGGAGACGAATGAAACCCTCCATCGATTTGGAACAGGCTAACCTCTTTCTAAGTGGAAACGTCATCTCTGTGGGGAAGGACGGAGTGGATGGATGGGTGGAATCCTCGTACTTGTCCTTGTTACAAAAGAGAGAGCTCTTATACCCAAAGCCTCCTAGGTCGGGCTAGCTGAGTGCGTTGGGTCGGATGGAACGCTTTCCCGACTTGAGGGAAATGGGCTTTGGAAGAGATAGCATGCAAGATTGTCGTGCACTCACTTCTGTATTCATCGACTAATTCAATCAACAGGTCGGAATGCGCCATTTACCTAGGTGGTGGTGTTCACTGTTGAGGTATGTAGAGAGCACTAGGTAGAAAGCAGAGAGTATCAAGATTGCTCGAAACGAAAACCCGAATTGCCATATACGGTTCGATCCTCGAAGGTGAGCGAAGGACGCTTCAACCTGAACTTTGACGGAGCCTTTAGATTCTCTGCCTTTACGCTGCTGCCTACGAGGTAAATTGCCTTATAACCTTAGGCTTCGGGGTGTGACAAGGTTAGCGGTTGAATCATACGTCGAAGGGCAAAATGGTGGTCCAGGCACCGAGACGCCTAACGTCTCCATTAAACCACAAGGAACTAGCGAATGGTTTTAAACCGTAGTGTGGAGTTCAGTGACTTATTTCCTGTGATGCCGCCCAATAAGTTCCATACCATGAATATAATAAGTATCGTATTAATCTCGCCCAGTATAAAGAGTCTATAGAGTAGACATTAATAAGTAATTTCATATTAATTGACTTCTTACATCGAAGACAAGAAATGCCCCCATTCTGCTTCTCCTGTGCCGCCATGAACAAATACTACTAGTACTTATCATTCAGTCCATATTTGACTGTGCTGACAGTCAATTCGTATATTCGTATCAATGACCAAGATGTCCATTCAGAAATGCTACCAGAAACTAAATGCGGCAGCGACAGTTCTGATAACGGCGCCAACCTCGAGAAAACGTTCCTCACAGCAGAATTACAGCCCCTCGCACAAGACATCCGAAATGGCAACCTCGAAGTGGTTGGTAGCCCAAAGGGCTTTGATCCTACCAACATTGCACTCGACGCTAGGAATTACGTTCAGATATCCTATGCCTCAGCTCGCATTTGTGTGCTCAACCCTAACCTCTTTGAGAACTTGCACATGCCAAAAGACAACCTGGCCGATGGTCTTCAGACTTTTATCGGCTCATGCTGTCCTGCCAACGCCACACAGGAATGCCAAGCAGGCACAACACCTTCAATGGTGATACGTCTGCAACGGTCGGAATGTTCGTTTCCAACAGCGAGCTGCAGACATCCGCCTGTAGTGATCAGACCGAGGCGATTGGCACCACGGTGGGCTTGGGTGATTCGCTGTGGCAACAGGCCTTGTCGCGGGTACTCTGAAGTATTTGGACTTTCTCGAGTCCTTCATCTCCAACGATGCTTTCCAGTTGGTCTTCATCACCTCGCTCGATGGTGTCGCAGCTTTCGCCAATATAGAAGTCAAGGAACCGAGCTCACTCGCCAGAGTTGCGATAAGGACCGGCCGGAGTTTCGAAGACATCCTGGACCGAGCGGGCACAGACACCTCTCTGTTTTCTGAGCAGCCGCTGGTCGATGCTCGCCATATCGCTCAGACAGCGGTTCATGAAGGAATAGACGCCGCGACACGAGAAGCTGAAGCTGATGGTGAGCTTGTGATTGAAGCGGGACTAGATGCAGCGGCGGCCGGCTTGGAGGACCCGGATCCGTTCGATGTTTAGACTGACTCTTTGCTTGGATCTCCATTGATGCTTTCGTCTTGAATCTTCTGAAGCGCGTTGGGACTTAGTTAGGCACCACTGGCGTTGAATTGAGAATTCTCTTGGCTATTACCCGGCTGTTGGCAGATATCGCCAGGTCCAGTCGAAGATCGTTAGAACAGGTTGAATCCGGTCAGATGTGGCCAGAAGTGACGTAGTAGTAGGCACAGTCGTTTGTCGCTGATTTTTTGTTTCTCTGTGCTTGGTCTATGAACCCCTGTGCATTTTCCAGCTTTATAGAGACCTTCTGTCTCTGTGTACATAGCTTCAGCATTCAGGAGGTATTGTCCTGAATCCCCTGAATCCTTGAATCCTCTCAATCCCCTCAATCACAAGGGTCAACTATATCTCGTCTGTAAGTCAACACATGGAAATTATGGACTACAATCTCGAGGCGTGCAGGTGAGGAAATCCGTTCGGTGAGGTATTTATCTATATTTACAGCCCTTGGCGGTATCGAACTTGTATGTAATGTGGATTTGGCAATCTTACTAGGGCCTAGAGATGCAGGTAGATAGAATACAGGTGATTGAGAGGGAACAAGCAAATAAATCAACACGATTCAGCCAACTCTAATCTAGTTACTAACAGTATTAAGGTGGACGATCAATGGAGATGATGCAGGGAATGAGACAAAAAATCCCCCAAGAAATCCGGGAGAGGCTCGCCAGCTTAAACTCCGGGGGGACAGAGCGTCGAAGGTAAATATGTACGTAGTACACGGGGTGCAGGCTACCCCTTTTCGAAGCTCTTCAGCTTCGGAATCGCCGTCGTTCTGCGCCTATAGATAGGCAATACACTTATTCCATAGCCGGCGAGCCATTCCCGACCCCGTGCAAGTGGGAGCAGGCAAGGTCGTAACAAATTCTCATCATAGGCACCTATTCATGATCTGTTTATGCTGCTATATCTATGACTGCGTAGTGTAATTTTTTCTACTGACAACTTCCCCAGGTATCTTTATGCATGCAACCAATAGCTACACGCTTCGCCGAGTTCTTGTTCCATTCAATCAACATAATGTTAATTAACTCCACCTTAGTGCCAGAGGGATACCTACGTAAGTCAAAAAGCCTCATCAGGCAACCCCATACCCGTTCAAAAGCGAATAGATACGGCCAAGGCTGTGTCTAGGTCAGATAGCACGATGGAGGACAACATAGTGAACCCGTATGTCGCACTAGATTCCCACTTTTCTCCCGATACCGAACTCTCGTAGTCCAGTAGAAGCGCGCAATGTCATTCTGCCTCATTCAGGATTCGTGTTGCTGGAAGCGGGCGTCGTAGATAATAACGCTGCTGGCCCTGGATAACGAAACCTTTGTCGCCAATCTTCCCCTTGAAATTAAGCCAATCACCGTTGGGTTCACCATATGATTACCTTGTGCTCCCTGAATGTTTCCTTGAGTTGCTTCGGGAGCCTTTCGGAGGCTGCGTCCTCGCCATCTACAATATCTATCCGACTCGGAAGATGCAAACTCCGAACCAAAGGGCTGCCATGGCTCGACCATCGACCATTCCATAAGCGGCCTGCGCCGCAAGTCCATACCAGGGCAGTGTGCCATGGCTCAGATAATTTCGAGGCGTACTTCACAAGATCTTGCCCGGCAGAGGCAGCCCATGCCTTGTTCACCTGGAAAGGGAGGTCAAGCCCTCTTGGCATCCGGGACCAATTTCCCGCAATGAGACTGCCACATTGTTGTCGGCAGTCGTGCTAATATCATGTTGAAAGTATAGTTCGTCAACTGATGACTACCGTGAAATGATGGCTGTCTGTAGTCAGCGATTGTGAGAGGGCTACCTATATCGGTGTCGAGTCGTGGCGTTGTGGGGCTTCGCATCAAGTCAGGATATAAATGAACACTGTCCATGTAAGCGCATATAGGGCATTTACTCCATGGGTAGCTCTAGGCTGATGTAGTGAATGTGTGATTAGAGTGCTAGGACCCATTGGCATCCTGGCTCAATAAATCTGCCTTTGACTTCGGCTATCGTCGATTTTTGATTTATATGACCGAGATCTCTGTCTTTGTTTCCTTTAAAAAATCTTCGTTTCTCCCCCTCTCGAAAAATCCAATCCTCTTGAACATATTGTCGTCGCCCTCGACTTCGCTCGGTAGAAGAAGCAGCCCTTCCACCCTGTCATCCCTTTCTCGGCTTAGGTTTATGGCCACGCATAAGACGATAACAGGGTCGTGGTTTTCAGTATCGTCATATGTGCCGCACATATTGCGATAATCAGTGCCGTACGTAGCCTCTGGATCCTCATCGAGGTCTACATCCGGATGTCTTGCCAAGAACTCATCGATATGTCTAGTCGAAGCCTCGTCAAAAGAGATTAGCTCTTCATTATGTGGAACTATTATTCTTGATTCCGAGGAGGTGGATACTGAAAGCAAGAAGATATTGTGAGTTGAGGGATTGAACCAGGCCCTCCTAACAGCAGCTTTCAATCTCAGCCGTGCAGACAATACTTGTCCAAACGGGTTGAGCTCGGGAGATATTGGTGCTGTCGAGCAATCTATGATGTCACAGATAATGTCCGGGACAGTTGCGTCTTCATCGTCGAAAGAAAAATTGAATCGAATGACACCTCCCTCAAGACTCGCCCAGGACCAGGAAGGTGCCCTGTACCTCGTCGGCCTGTGAATGATACAGGTGTCATTTTCAGGCAGTGTTCTGTGCCAGCGGGAAGCGCGCCACGTCAGCTGTCTCGCGAGTTCGTATTGCCACAGCCCAGCGAAGTAGCCGGGCCCGAGGACGCGAGAGAAGGAAGGATGAGAGGCGATACCAGCTATTGCATTCAGCTTGTCGCGTTCAAGGCTCGCAACGCGGAGAGAGTACGCCGTCACGATACGCAGCCAGCAGCTCAAGGCCTTGTCTCTCTGAGAGCGCGCCTCTTCTTCACTCAGAAGCAGAGAATGCAGATTGAGGCTGTACTTGTCATCATTGTCGTTGTAACCCGCATCGAGGTCGTGTGGGAAATATAGGGAGTCTCCAAAGTTTCTAGTGCCGGCACGGCACCTCCACATCATGGTGTGGGTAGTGAATGTGAGCGTGCGTTGGGCTAGTAGCTGCTCTTGCATCGTCCAGGCCCTCTTCGCAAGGGGCTCGAGCCGCTCGTCGTAGCTTGCAGCATCCAGTTCGTTGACGGACATCGTGCCGTACACGCCAGGTCGAATCCGGACCGGTATCGTGTGGGAGGGCTCTGAGTGGACCCGGGGATGAAGGAATCCTTCAAAGACACTCTTCGCAGATGCGGCGACTATTGTCAAAGCTGAAGAAGCATAGATATCTTTCATGACTGCAATTTCCCTGATTTTATCCTCTTCAGAATCCTGGATGATGCAGAGAGCGTCAATCCACAAATAAGGGATGGACAAGTTACGAGTGGTCGAGATGGCGTGACGGATAGTGCAAGGTAGGGTTCGCACATCCAGCTCTTCGGTGAATTTACCATAATTGGACCAAGTGAGAGTCCGAAAAGGAGTTTCCCCCCAACAGTAAGAGAGCGTTGCGTAAACGCCACGCAAATTCCTAGATTCCAAGAGTCGTGGATGTCGCCGTCCTGGCGGATTGATTTCGATGACCCTTGCGGGAAGACTAGCCTCTCGGTGTGAAGGGCTGCAGCACTCGTGCCCCATACACTCGTCCGACCACGTTCTAAGCTGCACCGTCGCCGCCTCGCTGTTGACGTCGGTCCGCCAGGGTCTTGCAGTTACATACGCTGAGGCGTTGTCGTCTGCTGCCGTCCAGGCGTGAAGAAATAGCGCGGAGCCCCCGATCCACTTTCCTCTTGGAGAGTGGCACGAGATGTCCAGGTAGAAGATGTTTCCGCCCCTGGGCGTGCATGAGCCTATCAGGGACGGGCTCAAATTCGTAGTAACCCTGTCTTCTGGCATCCACGAGTCGCGAATAAAGCTTCTTATGTACGCACACCAGGTGCAGTCAGCATCTCTGATCTCGCTGGTGGCAGCGACTGCTTCGACGCTTCTCTGCTCGTGGACATTACCGAAATGATCGTAAGTGCAGCATTTCTCAAAAGCCTCGGTGTTGAAGAAATCACGCCAACACCGGGCACAGACGAGATCTCGAGGTGTCATTTCGAGCGACTGCTCATAAAGAGGCGAAGTGTTTGACTATGCCACCACTCCTCTGATGCAGTGGATGCGTGAGGTTGAAGGTGATTGCAATAATTGATCATCATCTCTTGTGTTCTGTTTAGGCACCAGGAGGTATTGAGGCGTTGAGGTGTTGACGCCTAATGATGTGACAGGAAACTTATAGTCGGGGACGAAACTCCAAAATTCGGTGGTCCTATACCCAGTACGTGGAGCTGTGCCACAGCACCACGACAGCGGAATGCGACGAATTGTTTTATAGCTGTGTACAGCGTATTCCTCGTAGAATAGAGCTCTTTCGTAACTAATATATTATACACTATTATGTCTCGTCGGTCCGCACGCAAATCGATATTCATCGCAAAAGTATTAGCTTGTCAAGAGATCTTGTCATGAAGGGCTCCCCGGAGGGTGAGAAATGAATACAAGAAGTGAAATTGCCTATCTCCAGGCGCCGCAGGTCGACATCGACTTCTAACTCAAGGAGAGGGTCGAATAGGGGTGTGACCTTGTCTTGTCGCGTTCGTCACATAGATTTCCCTTGCCGTGGGCTGCGACACACGACCGTATTAAGTGCACACCAAAAGCTCCATCCTTGCAGGGGACCAGCGACATTTCCACAATTTCTTAGCATCTAGACTTCCAGAGCTCGAACTACGAGTGGTCTCATATAGGCTCTGCTGACGCTCTGTCACATATCAGATTAAAGGAGTCTCCTTCCCTTTCCTAAAGAAAAATTAAAACGAGCAAAGGTACGTAGCCGAGAGGTAAATGAAGCCGATTGTGGAGGGATAATGTGGCCCTGGGGAGCAGATTGGTCCTCCCTTGCCCTCCCTTGTACTTCATGTGCTACGAAGGGGTGCGCAGCGGGGACTCAGCCAAAGGTTCACTTGAGGCCCAGGTAAAAGCGGCAATCACTCGCCTTCGAGGACCAACCCGGATATGGCAATTCATTCGTTCGCGAGTAATTCATCCACCCGCTACCTCGTACCCTAGCGGAGAAGTGGTTAAAGTGGCAAGAGATGTGGCGGATCGCGGCGTGGGTGGAATAATCCACGAAATACTCGCCTGCAATCGGGCACTCAGTTGAACATCCTCTTCCCAATATGAGCGTCACCATTGACGCGCTCTACGTCTTTGATGATCACAAGTATGTGCCTGCCCTCTCCTCTCTCCCTCTGCCCCGCCGCGAATTGCTGACCATCCGCTAGCAACTGTATCCTCGAACACATTTACTCGGGCCGCCCACCCTCTGCGCAGACTCTCACCAGCAGTTTGACTGCGCGAACGGGCCCGCGACCCTCCATCCTCTATCTCTCAGAACTTGCACCTCCAACCACCGTATATTCAATCTCTCCTTCATCCTTTCAGTTGATCGCAGTGTCTGGCAAAGATGCACAGTCGCTGGCCATCCTCGATTTCCTCCACCGCGTCCTCGATGTCTTTGAGGACTTTCTCGGAAGGCCCCTCCTAACCACAAAGATTGAAGACAGCTATGAAATTGTGGCCCAGTTGCTGGGTGAAATGTGTGATGGGGGCATAATATGCAACACTGAACCCAATGCGCTGAGAGAGTCGGTAGAAGTTTCTTCAGTGCTGGGAAAGCTGTTCACGCATGTAGGATTGCCCGGGTATGCCCTGGCCTACATTTGCAGATATGTGCGGCTCTAACTCTTGCAGGTCTTCGCCTGCTCTGGGGCCATCGAGCAACTTCTCCTCCAGCCTGCGCGGCACAGCTTCCCCTCCCGTGGGACCGGCAATCCCATGGCGAAAATCTAATGTCCGACATACCTCAAACGAGCTCTATGTCGATGTCATTGAGAATCTGTCAGTCATATTCGCTCCATCAGGTCGTCCCATATCCGCACGGTCACACGGCTCGATTGCCTTCACAGCCAAGATTTCTGGAGTACCGGATTTGCTTTTGGTATTGACCGCGCCCGGAGGTACCAGCAGTGCCAAAACATCAGGAATCACTCGCACTATGCAACTACCAGTCTTTCATCCTTGCGTCCGGTTAGCAAGATGGAAAGAACACCCGGGAGAGCTATCATTCGTCCCTCCAGACGGCCGTTTTATGCTTGCAGGTTACGAGACTGACCTGATGCCATCTTCCCTCGACACGGATCAGCCTCCGAACAAGAGTGACAGAATATTCCTGCCAGCCACTGTAGATCTACGAAGTGGACTTGGCAGTTTATGCTCTGAATTTGAAGCCAAATTGATCCTGAACAACACTTTTCCCGGCGTTTCTTCGGCGCCAAAGCCGAGCGCCTCGCGGACGAGTTCAGGTCCAATTTCTTCTTTGTCTTTCGGTGGTGCCAGCAGTGGTAGTTCGAGTGCTCCAACATTGGAAGCTGTAATGGTCACAATACCATTTCCCCCGGATGTCCGGAGCGTCACTGAACTGAAGTCCTCAAGAGGGGAAGCCACGTTCAACGCACTCGACAGAGTTGTCGAGTGGAAAGTCCCTACCAAGGACGGAGCATCGATCAATGGAACAGCGACGTTGACCGGCACCGTGGCGGGTGCTTTCAATGTGCAGAATGAAATGGATGAAGAGAGCCAAGCTGCCGAGATCGGGAAGCAGAACACTATGGCAGGGTATTACCAGGAAGATGTCGTCGCCAATCAAGGTGCGGCACCTGAACCGTCAGGAAACGGCAACTCCAAGAGAGCGCAAGCGACCAAGGCGCTGATGCCACGATCAATCTCCGTCTCATTCAGTGTCAAAGGCTGGCTACCTAGCGGGATCAAAGTGGATAGCTTGGTGGTTGACGTGAAGAAATCCAAGGGCCTGGGTGATGGCGTTCGGCCGTACAAGGGCGTCAAGTACCTCACGGTGAGCAGGCAGGGTGTTGAGAAGAGGGTGGAATGAATGAGATATGATTATGAAAACGTCAAGAGAAGATGAAATTACATCTGCTTTATAATTTTTGCTATTGTTGTCTGTCGAGCCATGTACCCTTGTGGCTTGGGGGTCATGTTGACCAACCAAAGGGCAGGGAGGTAGGCAGGTAGGTCGTAAGAAATATCTGATACTAAGCTAGTATGATGATGGTCGTGAGCTTCGTTCATTGTTTTTGGTTTCCCTTTCCATGCACCGTCCATCCATCCATGCCCTAGCATACCCATCCTTCCATACACGCCATGCCATGCCCATGCCCATGCATAATCATGTCCGCTGGACGCTCTCACCAATGACCATGCAAAGCGAGTGTCAAAAGCCAAAGCCAAAACCAAAGCCATGTGTAAGACGAAGACTGAGAAGACGGAAGAAAGTCCGATAACGCCGCGCCCTCACACATACAATAAAGAAACAAGGAAGCAAAAAAAGTAAATGTGTCTCGTCAATCGTCCGTAGTGGTGCGGTCGTTATCGTCGTCATCATCATCATCGTCCGAATATTTTCCCCTGAAATAAAAGATACAGAAGAAAATCTTTGGTTTGGTCCTAGCTGGGGATCGAGCCTTTTTGGTTTGAAACTCCAGCTAGCCATGTGGTGTGGTTGTGGTGTGGTGCGATGACGTGGTGACGCGATGATGACGAGAAGAATAACGGGGAGAAGAGGGAAGGCTGGGCTAGCTACTGGTGATGATGCATGCCCATGCCCGTGATCTTCTTCCACCCCTTCTTCACGCTGCGGTTGAATTGGTCCGCGCCGGACTCGCTGCCGTGCGAGGAGCTCGCGCTCGTGGCCGAGGCGGCGCTGTCCTCGCTGGGTCTCCGCCTCATCATCGCGCTGGGGCCGGCGGTGTTGGTGGCGCCGGCAGCGTTGAATCTGTAGTTGCTGTTGGTGTTGCTAACGTGGCCGATGTTGCCCGCTCCGCCTCGGCCGACGTGGTACACGGGCGCCGCGTCGCGCTCCCACCGCAGCTGCTGCTCGAGTTCCTCGTCGAAGCTGAAGATGGCGCGCTCGGAGCTGGGGAACACGTTGCCCGCGCCGCCGCGGCCGGTCGTGAAGGTCTTCCTGGAGCTGGCGGTGGATGAAGTCGTCGATGACAAGGAGCCGAGCCGTGATGCGCCTGTGGCGCCGCTACCGCCACCCCATGCTGAGGCGCTGGATGAGGAGGATGGCACAGCGTTGCCGATCCCGCCTCGCCCCGTGGAGATGTAGTGTGTGCTGGTGGTGACGGAGGGATGTGGTTCGACAATAGAGTAGGATCTTGATGAAGGCGACATTTTCTTTTTCTTTTGAAGTGTGTGTGTTTGGTTTGTGGATTGGGTGGGCACTGTAAATTGGCTTTATGTTTGTTCTTATTTGTTGCGAGGACGAATGTTCTCGATCGCGATGATGTCTGAGCTGGTATGTAGAGACCGCCTAGTGGTGTTGATCAGGAGTATTTATGATTGGCTCAGGTGTGCTGTTTTGGGAACCACAGCCAGAAGTAGATAGGATTGGATTCCTTAGCTGTCAGGTGACGGTGATCAGAAGGACAGTATTTGTTAGAAATGTTGCCGGTCTGAGGTATTTCCACAGGACAATGACGACGGGCTTTGTCAAGAGCAATAAGCAACTTGGGATGCGAAACAAGAATCCCGTCACGAGGAGGACCAGGGGACCAGGTGATTATATACGAACAATGAGCCATTGTGAAAAAGTTTTTCTGCTTGGTAGTTGTTGACGTGAGGATCTCCAGTCAAGGCACAAGCACTGGCAAGGGGCTCACGGGGCTGGCAAGGGAGAGCCATGGGCGTGTGAATTCTGGGGCCATTACTCGATAGAAACCCAACGTCTTGTCGCACTTTGCAGTTAACTGGAAAGTGTCGGCCAAGGTTGAGACAGGCCTGCCGTTAACTGCAAAGCGCGAAGGTGCAAATTTGCAGGTCACGATGGGGACAGATGGCGACACAAGAGCGGGAAATAGCTAAAGCTGGCGTCATGGAAAATACTGGTAGAGAGGAAGTGACACGGTTGCAGGTGGATATTCGATGAGGCTTGGTAAGGGCAGTGTACTACAGGTACTTGCGTGATGGGCGGAAACTGGACGACGGCAAAAGTCTCTCGTAGAAAATTCCTCTGGCGGAGTCGGGCGGTGAGGCTGCCATTGGCCACACATCGACGTCAGCTGTCGAGCTGGGAGATTCCGTTAGTCATGCCCAGCCTCGATTCGGCCTCATCCTCCGCCACGCGCTGCGCTCCGAGCAATCTATGGGGTAATCGCCTGCTGCCCAGAGCGGGGACCGTCGTTTCCTGGGGGTAATAGATTGCCCAAGATGGCAGCCCTTCTCCAGTCGTCACCACAAGTCACCTCTGTCCCCTCCATCGCCAGGCGGGAGCCCGGGGCTTGAAACAGCCCTCGCCTCTTTTTTCGTTCTTTCTGCTCGTCGACTTCTGCCTCCTCGTCGTCCTGACAATCGGACACGTGTTGAGTTTGTTGAGTTACCCCTGAGAAGAGGGATCGATACGACCTGGCCCTGGCCATCAACAACGGTATGGTAAGTAGGTCGGCCTCCGGTGTTGTGGCCTGCCTCAATCTGGATAGTGCTTCCAGAGCCCGTTGATCTGTGGCTAGACCATCCCCCGGATTCTCGGGACTTCCCCGCAGTTACCCAAGGCCGATGCTCCAGAGGGTCATTGATCAGCAGATCCAACACTCGCCTCTCTGTGGCGCTGGACGGCCTGCGTCCATCGCGCGATGCCGGTGGTGCCTGACAAAAAAAGAGTTTTTTGTTGTTAACCTCACCGCCAGATGCTCGTCGTTTCGTGGGCTGGAATGTGTGGAAGCCGAGGTCCTCAATCTCCTGGCCACGATCATACGAGCACTGTCGCTCTGGACGACTCCCAATCAGGTAAACTTAGTGTGGATAACGTCTGGATTCTCATGCCAGTCGTCAATGCTGACCCACATCTGGCCTGGCATTAGTGGTAGCCCGATACTAAGAACGTGGTCCTCACTTACCTTTCTGAATGTGCTCAACCCAGCAAGGATGCTGCCACCAATCCACGTGCTGTACTTTCGCTCGGGAGGTGCATATATCTTGATGCGCATATCCTTGACCGCCAGCCTCTGCATTTCATACAGAAGTCGGTCCGGAAACCCTTTACATAAAGTCGTACCACCGCTGAGGACAACATTGCCGAAAAGGTTTTTTCGGAGGTCCATGTCCGTCCGGTTGATGGCATCCACGACCATTTGATGGATGCCCTGATATTCCAACCCGATTAATTCTGGTTCAAACAGAATCTCTGGAGCTCGGAACCGTTCTGCTCCAATTTTGATCTTTTGGCCATCTGGGAGCACGTACTCGACATCCCTCTTCTCGTTCTTCCATATCCCCTGTGACCAGTCCTTCTCTTCTTTTCGGGGATCCAGGGCGATGTATGCGGTTTTCTCTTTCATGATTCTGACAATTTCCTTTTCTGCGCTGGTGTGAAAGACATGGCCATTTTTGCGCAGGAGGAGTTGCATGTATTCGGTGATGTCTCTTCCTGCCACGTCGATTCTCCGTATGCTGCTCGGGATTGCAAACCCTTCGTAGACAGGTACTGCATGACTGACACCATCTCCACTGTCCAGAACAATACCGGTTGTTCTACCGCTCGCATACAGACTCAGAACGGCTTGAATGGACATATATATGGCGGGGACGTTGAATTGTTCAAACAAGATCTGGGCAGCCGTGTCTCGATTTTGTCTGGGGTTCAAGGGTGGCTCTGTGAGGAGGACAGGATGTTCTTCGCTCAGTGTTTTCAATTCTTGTTCGTAGACATATGTCCAAATCTTTTCCATGTCATCCCAATCAGTGACGATTCCATGTTCAAGCGGGTACTTGATTTTCAGAAGGCCCCGTAGTTCCTGCGCCTTAGGGCCGATGAAGACATCTCCCTCCAGGGCCCCGGCAAGGGCACGGACGTGCTTAGGTCGGCCAACGTAGGAAGGGAAATAGGCCGCAGGAAGATCGGTGCCGGCAAAGCCAGCTCGAATGGTGCCGCTTCCGTTGTCCAGCACGAGCGGTACATTGTGCAGACTTCCCCCGTCGGCCATATCGACCAGAAGTATTTCAAACAAGCAAAGATTAAGATTGAAGGGATTGCTACTCTGATCACCGCATGATGCCGATGGTGGTTGTGGTGATTAGTAGGGGGATAGGGACCAGGGGGACTTGGACAAAAGAAGACGCGAGTTCAGTCTCCAGCCGCAGGACGCGACGAGACAAAATTCTGCCGCTTTTCACCGCCTTGTTGGCATTTGTTCCTCCTGGTTCCTCCAACAGAATATTATCAACTTTCACAAACGCAGACACACGCTCCTTTGCACCAGCCAGCTCCTGATCCCATCTACCGACGCTGATTCTGTCTTCGCCGCTGTTTGCAACCGAATTTCAAGCCATCTCAACCGCCAAAATGCCCAAATATAAGTACTTCCCTCTCCACATATGGCTATTTCACTAACATGCGCAGCACTCTTTTGCGACTATTGTGATGTCTACCTTACACATGATTCCATGTCGGTGCGCAAGGCTCACAATGCTGGCCGAAACCACCTGAGAAACGTGGTCGAATATTATCAGCGTATGTACCAAAAGGCAGGGGCTCAACGATGTCTAACGAGATCCAGAGATTGGTCACGAAAAGGCACAGTCGGTCATTGACTCGATCACTTCCTCATACGCCGCCGAAGGTCAAGCAAATCCTATGCTTCAACAAGCTGCGTCAGGATTTCCTCCGCCTCTCCCTGGATTTCCAGGTATGTTTGGCCTCGATTGAGTTTCGATGTCGTCTCACTGGTATTCATCACAGGAATGCCCCCTCCACCATTCGGACTACCCGGTGCAGCGCCGCCAGGACCTGGTGGCATAGTACCCCCTCCAGGTGGTCGTGGCATGCCATTTCCACCTTTCCCGCCCAGTGGTGCCCCTCCTCCAAACCTACCAGGTGGTTTACCTTTTCCTCCACCGCCCGGCGGGTTTCCTCCAAACTTCCAATTTCCTCCTCCAGGTGCACCGGGCGGCTTCCCGCCTCCAGCTCAGCAGGGTCAGCAAGGTCCGCCTGGAGGACCTAGTCCGGGACCTGGTAGTAGCATGAGTCAAGGACAGGCCCCTCCTCCACCTGGTTTTAATATGAGTGGTCCTCCAGGAGCGAGTGACAGCAGGCGCTAAAATCATTTGGCAAAAATCTCGGATCATACACTCTCTTTCACACGCAAATGTTTGAAGAGAACACACATGGTTGGACCGGTGTCAGCTTCACACACACACAACTCGTGGAGGTTCTAGTGTCACTGATCTTGGCATCCTGCGCGATGGCAAATCCTTTCTGGGACGCTGGAGCACAGGGCAAGATTCTACTGCGAGTTGGTTGCTGACATGCACCTCCGACTCAAAGATGCATTCTCCATGAAGACCGCATCAGCTACCATGCATATTGCACTCTAGGCCGCCAAACAAAGCAAGACTCCATGTCACTGAAGAAACCAAACTTGTCAAGGGAATATGAGCCAACTGCAACGACCACCGCTGAAGCTTTGGTCGAGGCAAAATATGAACTCAGCCTTGACGGTCGTGACTGCCATGTCAGGGCGGCCAGGTGCGGTTTGACCGACGTGACGAACGGGGACTGTCTGTTTTCCATCCCTCATCCGTAGTCTTCTGTTTGTTAGTTCGCCACCTCACCTATGGCTTTCGACACCCTCATCGAATTCGCGGAGTATTTCATCGCCCCTATCTTTATCGTCTTGCTCTTAGCGCTCTTCATCCACTGTGTCTTGACAATCCACCGAAACAGGGAGCGCCGCTTCTTTCGACTCGACTCAATCCTGTCGGTATCTTAATCACGACAGTCTCTCCTCCACCGGTCGGAGGCAAATTCCGTTTGAATAATATGGCCGATCTATCGGCCCCTGAGCAACCCAATCTCACAGGAAGCGCGACTCCCAAGGAAACATGTCAGGATCTGCACAATCTCACGGAATGTATTCTACATCCTTATCAAGAAGGCGATGGCTTTACTCCCACCTCACCAACTCGCCAAGTAGTAGCAGCACGTCGAGCCCGATCGAGCAGGATACTTGATCGAATCTCGTTTGCACGATCTAGAGGGATTAGAGACCGTGCACTGGAAGAACTTGAGGCACGCCAGCGAGATGAACAGAGAGCAGAAGCCAAAGCTCGCAAAGAAGGAGCGACGCAGGAACGGAAGGCACGACGACAGGAAGACTACAAGAAGCGAGAGGCGAAAAGACAAGAGAGCAAAGATCGGGCACGGCAGAACAACAAAGACAAGGCAGAAAGAAAAGCACAGGAAAAGAGAGTGCAGGACTACTATGGGATACGCGGCTATGACCCAAGCGCTGGCATGCTTCGCGCTAATCGAGATAGGGCGGCCTTGCGAACGACGAACGGGCAAGTCCAGATACCTTGGAACATCGACGAAGTGCTGAATTCGAGGCCCCAAACTAGTCAAACCTGGGGCGTAGAATATGGGAAACCTAACGAGGAGCATGGGAAAGGACGGCACTCTCCATTGTGACGGCGGCAGCGACGGCAGTTTGAATGGCGACGACAGCAAAGAAAAGAATCCTGGTATGGATTATTTGTCGCTCCCTCTAGGAATAGTACGTATTCTTTTGAATGCTTTCAGGAATGTCAGTACGCTATATTCTCGGAAATATCTGCCACCATTTGACTTCTGACGGACTATATCCCCTTCCCTTTTCTTCATCCACCCCACAGCTTGACAGCCTAACACCTCAATGAAGTACCTTTTAACAGTGGAAAACCGACTTAGCGCACCTGGGTCTCGACACCAAAGGAGTGACTGGCCGTCTCCTCCCCAGACGCTATAGTCCCCCTCGGCTGCTTTCTCAACTGCCTTGAGAGCAAGAGACACACAACTTCGCCATACCTACTTCGCCGTAGTACGGAAGTCTGCTGAAAGAGCGGCATCTGCGACAAACCAGCCCTTTGCCCCCCACCGATCTCCCGATCCAGATCACTCAGAAGAGCGCCACCAAACTGCATGACAGTCCCTGCTTGGTATTTCCCATGTTTAATGCCACATTCAATGCAGAACCGCTTCAGACGGGATCCGAGATCATCGCATATCGCCTGGGAATGTTTCCCTCTCTTCCCCTTCATCATTGCATTCGAAAACTCCACTGCGGATCGAACGTGAAGGCAGAGGGAGCATGCGAAATAGTCTCTCCCGACAAGAGGCTGTCTCATGTGGTGTTCAGCTTGTCCTGCGGGATCGTAGCATGGCCATCGCTCGATTTGCAGCAAGTCAATCATTCCGTAGCCATGCGGTCTGAAGACACGTAGGTCCTTGCAGGTTAGCGACAGGGCAAGCGCTGCCGCGTAGTCGCAATACGATGAGATCCTCAAAAGAACCTCTGGAGGAAGAGACAAAATGGTAATACCCTGCGTCATAATTGTATCATTTCTTTGAATAATCTCATGTTTCAATGAGGGTCCATACACAGTGGTGACGGGCGAGGGGGACGAGGATCTTGTTATTCAAAGGCTGGACACCGAGCTATTGATAAAGAACATGTGACATGACACTTATTACCAGTCCGGTAACTTGATCGCAACAACTTCCAGCTCATCCTGTAACGTAGGGAGCAATACCTTGCCCACTAAGATCGCCTGCACCGGGCTTCGAAGAGTAGAATCAACATCTTGACATTGTCTCGGAGCTTGACTTGCGATTGACCATCAATTTCGGCTTCGTTCTCGGGCACGTCCTCCTGACAGGTTGGCAGTTCATCAGGCCGTCCGTTTTCGACACCTTCTGCGACGCCATTCTCCATGGGAGCTCCTAGAATGAACCCAGATTCACAGCCCCAATCTCGCCTGCTGAATCTTCCTGCCGAGATCCGCAGTCGAATCTGGCACCTAGCCTTCGCAGATTGTCACGTAGTACCGACTCGCGAGGGATACAACTTCAAACAAGATGACTGTCTAGCTTGCATCAACTCTACCCCCACCAACGATGACGCTGCCAGTGCTTCTTCAAGGTGCCAACACCCGACGCGGTCTGAAGTCTCTCGACCACCGCGGACCTGCAAGCGGATCTTCACCGAGGCATGTAATATCTTACTATCCTCGTTCATATTACAATTCGACTTGCTACTCGACCCCTCGAACGATACCTTGGAACCCTAGAAGAAGACGAAAGTCCACGTCCGCCGAATTGACTGGATCCTTCACTTACACGACCTTGGATATGCCGATTGGATCCAAAATGTTAGCATCCCCGGGAAGGCTATTCCCCAAACTGGAGCAGGTCGTCATCCACGCGCACATAGTTGCCTCCGGATGGAATGTTCCTTGCTCTACCCATCGTGGGCATTGCCAGGGGCTTCCCCAGTCGGGAAACGCCGAAACCCAAAGTCCCGCTGGATCTCCAATATGCCTGTTCCCGGAACGTCCCTGATGGTACCTTGATTTGGGTCGTGATGAACAACGAACACGAGTTGCTCGTACAGAAGTTAGTCAAGGATGTCGAGTTCATTGAACTGGCCCAAGTGGGACCAGGACGTTTTGACTTTCCACATCTGCTTACTACCTATATCTCGCGTCACTATGCCCACCAGATGGAGTTACTTGACAAGTGTCTCCGCGAACGTGTCCCCTCGAGAGGCTATTACTAGTCCTGTAGCTCTGTCTAGATTGCGATCGGACCTCAAGCTCACGCACAAGGGGAGGGCAATGACCAAGAGGCCGGGCAAACGCGGAACACAGCAATCAGGGAATCTGGAATGGGAGTGATTAAGGGGGTCTAGCTACGACCACAGTCGGTACGTACCACAGTGCTACATACTACTTTTGTCAAACGAACAAGTTCTGCACGTCTCTACGCGTTCTCCTCGACAGGCTGCTGCCATATAACGAAGAGCTCTCATAGCTGTATAGCAACGTTTTGGATGGCGTCTGTGACAGGTACGTTGCACTGTCTGTTCTTTGGTGGTCGATTTCAGTCCTGGAACGTTTGTCCAGGCCTTGACGCATACACCTACACATCTCCAGATCCTGTTTGGATATGTGCCCTCTCCCAGGATTTCACTTTGTGGAGTCAGATGGAATAGAAAAGAAGGAATCTTCGGCGTCATATCTGCCCATAAAGTGAAGCCGTGGGATAGTCTTCGGCTTAGATGCTTGATGTGTAAACAATTACTTTTCGTTTACTGCTCCTGACGGCCGCAGTCGATAGGTTTCTCGGATCACGAAGCGTTTTCAAACTAGCTCACACCATAATGCGCAAGGAGCAGGTCGAGGGCCTTTTGAAAGAGAGCAGAATCGATTGTCTACAAGGCCGCACTTGTCTCCAAGATGCTCTTCGCAGGATCCGCGCAATTCTCTCAACGTATCTTTCAAGTAACGGTTGTCTGAACGAAATGTCGAAGTCTTTGAAACTCCATACTCCTGGCGAGCAACCTCTTGAGCATTATGTCAGCGATCGATTGGGGAATAGTTGCCATGCGAGAAAGAGGTTTGGAGGGCCTTTGAAAACGTGTCTAGCTACAAGACGTGTCGACGACATGAAGTTTTCGAAAATTCAGACCTCCGTTCATCCCTTCTTACTCCTCATTGATCCACTCCCTAGGTCTTCGACATGGCCGCAAAATAAAAGAGACAGCACAGCGACATGCCCGATGAGCCTTCAAAGAGCCCGGCAGCACACGTGGAGCCAAGCACGCGCGCGATCAGTAGAGATTGGGGTTGTTGCGTTTGATTATCGTCCCGTATGCTAATATAAGCCTCTGCCCCTGCGCAGTATCCTAGAATGGCTCTGCGTTGACACAAAAGGCAGAGGGAAATTCCAATGCCAATCTCGACTTGAAAGATTCATTGCAAAATCTGTTCCAGAACATCGAATACCACCCCCCTGACCTTTGTTCAACGTTTTTCATCCTACAAAGTACAGGAGTCTGTGATAAATCCTGAGCAACATCATGGGAAGCCGTGGGTACGGCAGTTATCAAGAAGCCTCCAACACCGAACTCCCAATTCAATCAATCTGCCAGCCCATCTCTTCAGCAATAACGTCCTCCAGCCCACGTCTATACTTCTCCTCTCCTGACCTCAGCGGCGGCCACCTCTTCATCTTCTTCCGCAAATCCTCGACGCTCGCTATCGAGTCTGCAAGACTGCCAAGCTTGCCATGAATCACATACTCTTGCTCTGCCAGAGCCTCGGCCAACTCGACTTGATGGTTGTGCAGCAGATCTGTGTTTGGGACCACCACGATGGGCACGCCGATGCGAAGGGCGTCAAGGACTGATCCTGATCCGGCGTGGCTGATGACCATTCCCTCATCCTCTGGGGATCGTCCCTTTACTGCAAGCATCTCTTCTCGTAGCCCTTCTTTGCAGAACCCGAAGCCTGTAATGTCGATACCTCTGTCAAAATCGGCTTCCTTCAGGGACTTGCATCGCTCCCGAAATATATTCTCGCCCTCGTGATTACCAAACTGGATTCGTAGTTGTGTATATCCTGCTTCACGAAGCGGTTTGATGAATGCTGGTTCCAGCACGGCGCCGACTAGACTATTAAAGGGAGCTGTTGCGCCGATGGTCACAAAACATCGCTTCCCGGAGGCATTGCTGGATGGTCTCGGATCGGCCATTATCCAAATTCCTAAAGAGACGATGGCGACAGTGGAGGAAGATTGTGGGTGACTCGCCTAAGCTCGCCTTTAGGCCCACGAGATGTAGACTTCGGTGGATCATGGGTCCTCAGAGAACTGCCACTATTCTACATCTGACCACAGAGCGAAGTCACGCAAATTTGGTTTTGGGGAAATTTATCTGAAGCTCCCCAATGCGCAGGCTCACAAGACCGAAAGACACCGGCAACAATGGCTACCACAGCACGGCATCTATGTCGTTCATTATTCCAAGTTAGTCGACAGATCCCGGTGAAACGAAAATGTCAAGCAGCGCAGTCGCAGCTCTTTGCACGGCGGCATCGAACCACGGGCACAAGCCTACAACTTCGACAACTCTCAACAACGTTGCCGCGTCGAGTAGATACTAACCGAAGGACCTCTGTGTTTGACCAAAAAGGAGACGAAGACGAAGACGATGAGGAGGATTTGGATCTTAGCCGACCACCTGAAGGCGGCTACAAAATCCCCTCTACACCGATCACTGTCGCCGACCTGGACCCTGACGAACTCGCCGATTTCCAAATGCTCTCGCCCAAGGACCAAGAGTCCTACCTTGCGCTGCAGAATCACTACGCCGCCGAATTTGAAGAAGCTGGCATCAACTTCAATGCCGACCCCAACGCCCCGGACCCGTTTATGGAGAAGCTCGTCGACAATGTAGATCGAGAAATTGGCAAGGAAGTCGAGCCCTTGGATTTCCCCGACGTCCCGTTGAAGAGTAATGAAGTGGGCTACTGGGCATTGGATGAAGAAGACGATGAATTCACGCAGGTAGAGGATGGCGACGAGGAGTGGGATGAGAGTGCCATTTCGAGTGTTGCGCATAATGAGTTGGATCTACACAGAGAGGTCAGGGAGTATACGCGGGTCATTGCATGGGATATGCCCTTGTTACAACGTAAGCATCATTCGGTTCAGCTCGACTTCGTCATTGACATTTGTACTAATATGTGTTCTCAGAGTTCGCAAAGCCATTCACACCCCCTACGGAGGCCACACCCCTCCGCTTCCGCTATACAACGTACATGGGTGAATACCACCCGGCCGCCCGCAAAGTGGTGGTTCAATTCTGCACGAAAGACCTCCCGGATCTGACCGAAAAGCAACGTCAAAAACTCCTCAAGCTCGTCGGGCCCCGCTACAACCCGGACACAGACGTGGTGAAGATGTCCTGCGAAATTTTTGAGGCGCCCGCGCAAAACAAGCGGTATTTGGGAGACCAGGTGAAGAAATTGCTAGACGAGGCGCGCAACGGGAAGGATACATTTGAGGACATTCCGCTGGACTTGAGGCACCACAAACCACAAAAGAAAGTCGAGTTCCCCGACAACTGGAAGTTGAAGCCCGCAAGGGTCAGGGAGTTGTTGATCGCGAGACGGGAGCAGAAGTTGCTGGGTGAGGGCCAGACGGCACAGCAAGGGCCGGCACTCGACGGCAAGGAATTGGTGCATGAATATGTTCGAGCGCTTGGGAGGCCAGCGCCTTTGAGACCGCAGGGGTCTCTGTAAAACAACACGGCTAAAATAGATCTCAATGGCACAATTACCCAAAAAGGAACAGAAAAGGACACGAATATTTTTTTCTCTTTTGACATTCGTCCATTCACTTTCTAGCTATCCATTTCCATACTAAGGACAGAACAGAAGAAGGAAAAGCATAAAAGGGGGTTATCTCTGGAGCAATAATATCCACGATGGAACCTGATACGCCACGTGTTTCCGGAACCTGATTATGATAATGCAAAATCCAGGCTCCCTTTCATCCACTTTTGGCCGCTTTCCTCTTTTCCCAGCTCTCCCACTACAACGACGGACGGCGATGACACCAACAGGGAGACAGAGGCATGGTGAAAGAACAGCCATAGGCAGTGAGAACAGCGGTCTTCTCTCTTCCTCCAGGGTCGGGCTTTTTGGGTAGGCGTGGACGAAGAACGTTGCCATGGCCGTCGCAGTCGACCTATGCTGTCTTATGCACAGCAGGCACCTGTGGCGTCTTTTTCCGACGCGGATACCTAACGCCACCACGCCCGCCGTGCTTCTTCCTGTCTCCGACAGCGACGGGCTTGATCGGGACGGATTCCTTGCCGCTTCCGCTGGCCCTCTCACTTAGGGTCTCGTCCTTCTTCGCTGCGCCGCCGGTCTCACCACCCTTCTTTCCTGCCTCGGCAGTGGCTGCCCTTTTCGCTGCCTCTTTCGCTGCCTCCTGCTCCTCCTCCCATCCGGCCTGCTCTTGCTCTCGGATCTTCTCCATCCGCGCGTCCATCATGTCCTCCAGCTCGCTGTCCATGTCAGCCGCGAAGGCGGCAGCCAGGAGCTCGTCGCGGCGCTCCTTCTCGTTGGCCTTGGCCTTGACTTTGTCTGTAGCATTGTCTCCGGCAACGACAACGGCAGGAGTCCGCGGGGCGGAAAGCGCAAGAGGACGGTGGTAGTGGTTTCCACTGGCTCGCCGCTGTCTATCCCCATGATGGTGGTGTCGGCCGCCTCGCCCATTACCGAGAGGTAGAGCGTTGATATGCGAGGCGATGATCCGTCTGGTGGCTTCTGCGTCCAAACCGACGCGCCTGGCACGCGGCGCGGCCTTGTTCCCGTCGAGGATGCCGTAGCTGAGGCCGTCGCGGCCACCATTGACACGCAGGCTGCCTACCTTGTATGTCTTGCGGTACCAGTCTGGGAGGTCGCGGAAGCCAAGGACCTCAAGAACCTCAAGCTTCAACGGCATCACGTGCTTGAACATGCAGCCTTGTTGCGCGAAGTTGCACTCGCCGTTGCGCAACCAGTATGAGCAGTAGACTTTCTGGCCGACTGGTGGCATCTCCGGGTCTGGGTCAGCAGGAGGCGCGTCATTTGCGAGAATTGGCTCGGCCTTGTTCCGCCATGCCAAAGTGGTGGTCGTAGTGGGAGGCAGCGTGACGTTTGCAGAAGAACCAGGGAGGGGGTTGGTAGCAGGCTTGATATCCTCCTTGGTTGAGTTCGTGGAAGCAACACCAGAGGTGCTGCCTACTTCGTTGAGTTGGTTTCCGACATGCAGCGCGTTTGGAATGAGACTGGAGGAAAGCGTGGCTGCACGCAGCAATGGAGTCGAGGAGGCAGAATTTGGCTTCGACGCATTCGAGATAGGAGTTTGAGGTGTGCGAATGCCGTTGAAAGGGATGGCCATGGTATTGTTCATTCTTTGGACGACGTAATATTGATGTCGGGCCTCGCGGACGCCGACGCCGGTCATCCCAGCGGTGTCGAAAGCACCAAGGCTTCGAGAAACACCCTCGATCTGGACATGAACAGGCAGTTCATCCATGGCAATGAGAGGAACCATGGCTCCATTCTGTCGGGTGACGAAGAATTGGGGTTTGAGACCTTGCTGTGGAGCCATTTCGACACAGTGAGATGCCTCGATTGACAAAGTTGACTAGAGCAAGGAGACTGAACTTTCTCGCCGCAGGTCGAGAGGTCTGTTTGGTAGGATTCAGTATATTTACTAACTCAAGCAAGGAAGCTCTTTGATGTTCTGATGCTTTGTGAGGAAAGTCTCGAGGAGGAAGGAGGACGAGGGGAGATATTTATAGGATAGATGGTGGGTGACAGAGAGCAACCGCGAGAGAGTGACAGAGTGACAATAGCGACCAGCACTACTTACAATCCTTTTGAGTGAAGGACAATAGGCGCCGTATAGATGCGTCAATGCAAATGTGACTGTCGGCGCGGTTGAGGTGACAGATTCCAAAGGCGGTGATTTGGGTGTAGAGAAGATATAGCAAACTCCAATGCACTGGAGCTATTTGTGACAAGATTTGAGGGCATTCTGGGACGGTGATATTGAATATCATGCGATATATATCTTCACATCAGAAATCCACTGTTTGGATGTGAACAAACGGCAGAACTGAGCGATCCAGCACACCCAGCCTGGTGTTTGTCTGCTTTGTGCGGCGCGTCTGCTGTTGATGGTTTAGAGTTTCACACAGCACGAAGACAGCCAGAAAACGACCAAACAACGGTTGATTGCCCGACAGACAAGTCAATGAATGAGCCCTCCAAACTCAAACTCACACCGACGACACTGGCATGAGCACCAGCACCAGCGCGGTGAAGTGAGCTGTAGGTGCCAACAGCTCCTCTTTCAATACTGATGTCACAACCTGCCATTTTTTGTATGGGAAGTTGCATTTTATCACGCAGGACGTCGGGTACATACTCACACAATCGCCGGAGCTCACCTTCACAAGAGAAATTATTGTTCCGGGGAGGAAGACAAAAAGAGAGGACTGTTTGTTTACTTTTCTGTTCTTGGTCTTGTCCTTGTTTTCGCGGACGGAAGACGTTGAATTTAGATGTAGCAGCGGGCGCACAGTCAGCAAGGAGATGAGTGGCTTCGGTGGAGCGAACATGGGCTGGACTCCTCTGACTTGCTTCTGTTTATGGACATTAGTCGCGAACGTGATTGATGATGGGACAAGCGACAAGAGTTTTTCGGATGTCAGGCACCAGTTAAAGCCTGTTGAAGCCAGTTAAAGATAGAGACCGATGCTGCTAAAATCCTGCTGCTAGCTTCAAATGGCAATGCCGATATATCCGGACACATTTGCATAATCGGCATTCTGAGACAACGGATGCACGGATTACTCGATATTCCTGGTCCGAGGAGTCAGGCATCCATCCCTGGCGCTCAGTAGCCCTCAGAAGCCCTTTAACCACGGGGGTTGGCAGGAGTGCCTAGCCAGGTCGCTAGTGCTTCGTACTCGTACCTAGCCGTACCGAGCAGGTCATGCCTCGCGCCTAGCGAGCAGCGTTCCTTCTGGCCCAGCCGGTAAAGGAGTGCCCTCTGTTTTCCCTGCATCGACCACCTGGCAAGCCCTCACGCCTAAAGCTCTTCGTCCAACCATACCTAACCGCCAAACCACACCACCTGTCCGGACCCTCGCATCCTCTTCCCTGCCCGATCTCTGGCTCCATCATCTACCCAGTCATCTTGCACGCCTGCGCCTCACCTTTCCGAGTGACCACCTGCTCCGACCTCCTGCCCTTTGAGCCCTTTGTAACCTGACCTCCTCCCTCATCCGTCAAAACGACCATCGACTCGACCGCTCAACCACCACCCACCTCGTCCGAGGTTGAGTTTCATCACTCTCGTTTTATCTCTTTCGCTTTCTTCATTCTTGCTTCTCGCATTTGCGGCTCATACGCGTCCGAGTCCTCTGATATCCTGGCGATACCATGGCCACCGAGGCCTCCATCGCCCTGACAAACCGCTCTCTCCGTACCATTCGTACTGTGTGTAACCACCAACCTCTCTACCCTTTTCGGATCACCAGATTGACATTCTATAGGAACTGGAATTCCTCGCCGATACCTCCATCATCTCCCCTGAACAGCTCTCCTCGATCCTAGCACAACTACCAGCTCAGACACCGCTACATGCCCCCCTACACGCTCCCGTCAATGGCACCGCCAACACTCCTGTCGATCAATTCTCGAGTATGAACCTAAAAGAAGGATATGCTCCCGTACCTACGCCTGCTCCTCTCCCTCCTCCGGCCTACGTTCCACCGCCAATATTGTCGATTGCCTCTGCTCTTTACGCATACACACCCACAGATGCTGGCGATCTGGCGCTCCAGCAAGGCGATCGGATCCAGGTATTGGAGCACATGAACAACGATTGTACGTGCCGCTCATCTCCATTCGGGCCCGATTCCATGCTAATGAAAACCAGGGTGGAGAGGTCGCAATGAAAGGACCAACCTAGAAGGTATCTTCCCCCGAAGCTACGTCAATGTTATTGAGGACCGACGGCCACCCATGGTTCACTCACAGTCGACTGAGTACGGAAATCTTCCTCTCCAAGTCAGTCAGTCAGGCTCTTCCAGCGGCGGTCCAGAAGGTCGGAAATACAGCAAGCTCGAAGAGCAGGGCAAGAAGTTCGGCAAGAAGATGGGCAATGCTGCCATCTTTGGAGCCGGAGCTACAATTGGCAGCAACATTGTCAATGGCATTTTCTAATGATGGTATTCATGTTCTGATGCTCGATATTTCAGCCTTTGACTTCCCAAAGGCTATGGCTACGAAAGTTCGTTAGAGTGTCCTCCACAGGGCGGAAGAGCGTGCAAGCACTGCGACTGGAGCGAATAATGGGCATTATCTTGCAAAAAAAAAAAAGAAACTGGAATCACTGCTTGACGGAGACGGGGTGCATGGGAAAATTGGCGTCAAAATGGGAGAAAACGGCGTTGATCGTCGGTGGTCGGCCACCGACTTCTTTGACTACGCTGATCGTCGATAAAATGAACGAAGGGAGTGTGCTCCCCAGCAACCATCCAACACTTATATTCTCCTTTGTCCTTTTCAACAGGCCATTACATTCTCCGGGGCGAAGAGCTTGGCAATTTTGTGTCATTCGCGGGGACGAGGCAGAGTGGTTTCACAAAATTGCCCAAGGGATTGAAGGACGCAAGAACGGACAGAATGAACCGCAGATCTTTCTTACGGGCATGACGAGTTCAACTTGATTGCTATGCAGACAGAATTTCCGGTACTGCACATACTGTACTTTGAAGAGGCCTGGTATGACATCAAAAATTCCATATCCATAGCCGATTCGTTGCAAAGCCGGTTATCTGTCGAGATGTCTGTAGTTGCCTCCTCCGCGTTACAGGCCGGAAAGGCTCCTCTTTCGTGATTTGCAATTGTCAGGTCTTGGAATCATGCAAGACCCTTCCTCCCCAGAAGGTAATGGCGTTCCGGACCCGAATGCTTGGTATTCACCAAAAGGGATTCGCCTATCTAGATCCCCCGCCTAAACAATGTGCCGGTGTCGATCTTAGTCGAGGAGCTCCCAGGTTGATCTGGTAGAAAAGCACCGACGCGGAGTGAGTCCATCATGGGTGTCGGCGGCGCAGCTCCTTCGTCTTCGAAATAGATCAGAGCGTGGCATGGATGTCTGCATTCATATCTTGATATGCTCCATCACCCGAAGAGTTCTGATGTGAAACCTCCAAGCGTTCAGTCCTCCTCCCTCGGTGGTGGCGGTCCACTCGCCCTGATCATCTTTTCAATCATTTGTCCTCTTACAATCTCCTTATTCTCTCCCAATCCAAGAGCCATGTACGCGAGCAGAGGAGGATGGCCGACATAACTTGCGAGGGAGTCGCGGACGATGTTTTGGCTCCATTCGTAGCGGGTGGTGTCAGCGTGGCCAGTGCCTACGTATTTGGCCTGGAGAGATTCGAGTTGTTGAAGAGTGCGCAATTTATCGGCCATGGCGAAGGACGAAGGGAAGGGGAAACGCGAGACAGAGAGATGCGGCAGGGAAGTGATTGGTAAGTAACTTGTTGTGCTCAAATGTGGATGGGGGCGTGGGAGAAGTTTGCAGACTGCGAGCTGGTGCCCATGGTCACGTGGTGGTTCTGGAAGTCGAAGCGATCTCGGAGCCTTAGCCGCGTTCGCCGCCCATCTTTCTAGTATTATTCCGCACTTTGACCCCTGCAGCCAAAAAAATAAACCCCACGTCCTGCAGCCACATCGCAGCAAATTCCACCAATTCCACCTTCGTTCATCCTCGGCTGTTGGTCCATATCGTCATCGGCTGTTGAATCACAAGATCTCTATCCGATGGAACCTCAGAGGTGGGTTTCCACAACCACAGCAGCAAGCCGAGCTATCTGCGCACTTCCCAACGTTCAAGCTCGCTGAGTTTGCGAGGCATGGGCTAAGAGTTCCTCCTTGGTGCCTCTCAAATCAATCTGATCACATCGGTGTGCTCACCCGGACTTCACATCTTATATACGTGCACTTTCCGTTCCTTTATCTAGCTTTTCTCCCCTACCCACATGAATCCTCTCCGGACTGCGCTGGTGGGCGGCGCTGCAAGAAGGTCCACCCTTTCGAACCTGTCTCTATATCACCGCTCCTCTTCACTCTCGTGCAGAATGGCGCCCACGGCATCGAACAGACTTGCGGCCGAATCACGCAGACTGGGCCTGTCGCCACACCAGACACGCACCATGTCCTCAGGCAGACCAAAGATCAAGGTCAAGAATCCCGTCGTGGAGCTCGACGGCGATGAGATGACTCGGATAATATGGCAAGATATCAAGGACAAATTCATCTACCCGTATCTGGACATTGACTTGAAGTACTACGACTTGGGCTTGCCCTACAGAGATGAGACGGACGATCAAGTCACAGTGGATGCTGCGGAAGCCATCAAGAAATATTCCGTGGGTGTGAAGTGTGCAACTATCACTCCAGACGAGGCCAGGGTCAAAGAATTCCACCTGAAAAAGAGTATGATATAAGTACCTCAACATCCCCTCCACCACTAATGGTCTTGGTAGTGTGGCTTTCTCCTAACGGTACAATCCGAAATATCCTCGGTGGCACAGTCTTCCGGGAACCCATCGTGATCCCTCGAATTCCCCGCCTCGTGCCCGGCTGGGAAAAGCCCATCATCATCGGGCGTCACGCGTTTGGCGACCAGTATCGTGCTAAGGATACAGTCATCCGCGAAGCAGGCACGTTGGAAATGGTATTCACACCTAAAAACGGAGGCGAGCCGGAGAGGATCAAGGTTTTCGATTTCCCGGCAACAGGCGGCGTCGCCCAGACACAATATAATACCGATGATTCGATAAGAGGATTCGCACACGCAAGCTTCAAATTTGCACTTGATAGGGGTTATCCGCTTTACATGTCTACCAAGAACACCATCTTGAAGGCCTACGATGGACGCTTCAAGGACATATTCCAAGAAATCTACGACAAAGAGTACGCCAAGGAATTCGAGGCCAAGAAGATCTGGTACGAACACCGCCTAATCGATGACATGGTTGCGCAAATGATCAAGAGCAGTGGAGGATTTGTGATCGCAATGAAGAACTATGACGGAGATGTACAGAGTGATATTGTGGCACAGGGCTTTGGGTCGCTGGGTTTAATGACCAGCCAGCTAATTACTCCCGACGGTTTGACGTTTGAGAGCGAAGCCGCGCACGGAACTGTCACACGGCACTACAGAGAACACCAGAAGGGGAGAGAGACCAGCACGAACCCCATTGCCAGTATTTTCGCATGGACCAGGGGATTGGTTCATCGCGGGCAACTCGATGACACGCCCGAACTAGTGACCTGGGCGGAGAGTCTGGAGAAGGCGGTTATTCAGACGGTCAATGATGACGGGATTATGACCAAAGATCTTGCGTTGGCCTGTGGACGGAAAGACCGGGAGGCGTGGGTTACCACAAGCCAGTTCATGGAGGCGATTGAGAAGCGGTTCAAGAAGAACTTGGAGACCGAGGGACTGAGTGATGTGGTTAAGTCATAAGAGCCCAGGAACGTGTTTGGGAACAAAAGATGGTGGACCAGCGGACGTCAGGATGGAAGGATGCCACGAAAGATGGAGAATCAATACAGGAATGTATAGATGATGAAGCCGGGGGAAAGAAAGAAATAAAGCCATTGGTGCACAAATGTTCGCAAGGAGTTGGCTTAGAATCAGATCAATCAGTTTTTGTTCGAATCTTAAATAGGAAAGACGGATCCAGCATCAGCATCAAGCTCAAGCATCCAAATATCTATCTATTTATCTGACTATTGCCAAATTCCGTCTTGGGCTGTCTCTCTTTTCCCGTCATCCAGTCCCAGCTCTCCTGTTTTTGCTCACTCCCTGTTCTTCTCGTTCTTGTCCTGCCGCTGCGCCAAAGGGCGGATTCGACGCGTTTGGAAGGCGGTAGCACGGAGTACATGGAAGCATACACACAGGGTGGTGAATGGACGAATGGACGAATAGAAGAAAGAGAATGATGGCACATGTCTATTCCATCATAGTCCCTGTGCGAGGAATGAGACGCGGTCAGGTAAGTTTCCCCCATTCGTCTCTCTCTCCCTCCCTCCCTCCCTCCCCCCCCTCTCTCTCTTGGGAAGGGGGTTGATTCTGGGATTCACATGCTCCGCTCTTCACTCTTCTTACAACAAAACGAAAGTCACCGGCCGTACTAGATAAAGAAAAATGGAAAGAAGCCTGAAGGGAAAAGCAAAATAAAGATCGATCAGGAATCCACCAGTCTATTTTGTTACTTGCCAGACCAAAAGTCAAAAAGGCGACGACAAACCATGTCTCTGTCCATCGGCAGCAAGATCCCTCGGAGGAGACACCAACTGAAATGACAACAAGCAAACAGCATCACTGTGTGGGCCGTTGACAAGGGCCCCTGTTCGAAGAACAGCACATCGACATACTCTCCTTCACTGGACCGAAGCGCCCTACTATTCCACAAACAGGCCATGCGTTGAGGCTCTCGTCAACACTTGGTTTCACTCTTGTTGCCCCCCTTTCTATTCTCTCGAGATTCCACCTCTTTATGCCTGGCTCAGACTTCATTTCTGCTGCTGCCTCTTAAACTTTGGACCTTTGGGGCTCCCGATGTCACCGCCTAACAAATTGATGTGCATGGTTTTTTCCAATTTCCCAAGCGCCACTGAATCGTATGCCGCCTTGCCAGACTCAATATCTCGGAGGAGCGTCCTATCGACGTGAGCCTTGTCGGCAAGGTCGATCTGCTTCATCGCTTTACCATCAGGACCCTTATTCTGGTTCCGCCATTCGGCAATGGCCCGTGACACTGCTGGTGGGATGGTTTTGGGCTTTATGATATCGTCAGAGCGGTCGACCTTGGTCAAGTGTTGGCCCTCGGCGCCCGATCTCTATGAAGTCTCTGTCAGTCCTGTTCACCCGCAGTCCGGAGTATCAGAGCTGCAACTTACGCTATTAGTGCCTCCGTATTTCTTTTCCGTGAGGACGACAGCGCCTGAGCGCTTAGCTGCGTTGAGTGCTGAATTGCCCTTTACAACCCGTTCACGATCGACGGCCCCACTGCCAGGACCTCTGACTTTGCTACCAATACGTGTGACGGTATCCCAGTCGCTGTCGGCCATGATGGTGAGTGTGAAAGTTGTTGGAAATGCGAGGAAATGTAGGGAAGTGGCGGTGTCGTGAGCTGAGGTCGCTTCTGTCCACGGACGATGCAATGGAGAGGATTCGAATCAACCGCTATGAACGGTGAGACTCTATTATATGGTCAGAGTTACAATATATGGACTTGTTGGGCGATGAGATGGAAATGGAAAATGAAGGGAGTTGAGCTGATGATCTAGAAGTTGCCATCCCATCGCAGCCGCCAGAGACTGAGCAACCGAGTCATCGCCCCACGCCACGCCACGGCGCACAGCGCCACAGTCAGACTTTCCTCTTTCTCGCTAGGCGGGCTCGGCGGCTAGGCGTCTCAGCGGATTGGCAGCTGGCCACAAGGCTGAATTGAATCCCAGCAATCTGCAATTTCAATCGAATCGCCGCACAGGGGAGGGCGATCGTCTGAGGTGGTTGCGACCCAAATCCCTAGTCAACCATGCTACAGCCTGAGACGAGAGAATGCTGCTGAAGTTTGAGACTTGTTTGAGATCCTCCTGTCTTGCCGGTCCATGTGGGAACCCTCTTGTCCTGCAGCCAGGTCTCACATGAACGAATCTGTGGTAGACGCTGTTCCTTCCAATACGGCAAGTCACCGAGACACCAAATCAAACAGTCCGCTTGGGCGGTTAATGCATACGCCCCCCATACCCCTGCCAGCCCTTGTTGCTGTACAGCCTCAGTGAGTATCAAACCTGCATGACCTGAAGCGCCCGTGCCAGAAATAAATGGCCCCGCCAGAAGGCTTCTTTGACTGCAAGCCGTCTTAGTTTGCTTTTCTCCTCTTCTCTCCCATTTCTTTAAGTTTGACGGCAAGAACCTTTATGGCATCGCAGTGCTCTTCCAATCGCTATACTCAATGACCGTCAAAAGCTAGAGTCTATTCTGCCACTTGGGTCCGCGCCGGCCGATCCCGCGAGTTTGTGGCATATGCTTTTCACTTCCCCCCAATATCCTAGCGATCGGAAGCTTCTCGTTCTCCAGAAGAAGACACAGAAGAAGCCCAGTAGGGTACTCCCGCTAGCCGACATCAAAGCCTCATCTCAAACCACCTGGACCATTCACTGGCACTTCCGAGGAAGAGCCTGGGGATCTCCTAGACGAAACTTCCCAAAGTTGTACTGGCTCGCCTTCAATTATCCAACCTCCACCGGCCAAATTTATACAGCATCAATACTTAGGAGGATCTCGAGGATTTCGAACATCGCTCTGACTGCCAAAAGATGCCTGCATACGCCGGGTTCCAACTTGCACTTGAACTTTCAAATGTCCTCCCTATAAAGGATCTTGCTGCTTCCACAATCACAACGCTACTCAACACGGCACGCGACCTTCGCAATTCTGGTTCTGATATTGTTGTTGAGGCTGATCTGGCAAGCATTTTCGGCAGGGGTCAAGTTTCACTTGAACTGGAGAAAGCATTCAAAGCCAAAGTCCACATCACTAAGATCACCCCACTACATGAGGGCTCAGAAATCGAGCTCCGCACTGGCCCTGGCCCAACTGTGACTCGAGCATTTCAGAATCCACCATACTTTGCAACTATAGTCACTCTCTCTGCACTAAGTTATTTTACCAGGAGAGAAGATCTTGCCAGAATGATCGCCAGTGGGATGGCCAAGCGATGCGAGGCCAACGTATCAGGGGCCAGCAGCCCCCCTGGGTACGAAAGCATTGAAAACACATTGGCAGCCTGTAGTACGCAATGTGGCGAATTTCACTGGGCTCCATACTGTGCACAAATCGAGCGACGGCTTCGAATTTCAATGCAAGACTACAATTGGAGTGCGGATTACACTCGGCTGACGCCTGCGGTTCTTCTGGGAGCCATGGACTTCTTCTATATCGTCAAAAGCCTGCCAGTGGACAGGATAGTCACAATCTCGTTCCAGACAGGATTTATCCCTCTCACAATCTGGGCTCACTACATCTTGGGCCTCAATGTTGTGATCACTAATCTTTCTTGTCCAGATGTTGTCTTTGGGAACGCAGATGAGCCACACGTTGTCATCTATTGGCGCCAAATTGATCCTTCTGATAGGGAAACCCCGTGCTGGAATTTGGGTACGGATGACGAGGGTCCGGAAATCTGCCTTCACGACGCAGACATGAAAATTATATTAACGTGTAAACCGGAAGATCACGACTCGGATGGCATCTACTCAAGGGAAAGGCACCCTTTGTCGGGATATGGCACGGAAATCCTCCGACGCGGCTTGAATCTTAATACCATCACTCGAGATGATGACGATATCTACGTGGAGGCGGCAAGCTTCATAGCAGGATTCGCAATCGTCGCTTCGCAGAGAATGGCCCGAGAACTGACGTGGCCTCCATGCGAGCAGGGACAGGAGACGACCGAGGATACTGGACAAAAAATCCAATTGGAGATATGGAGGATCATCGATTCTGTTAAATTGATCTTTGATGGTATCACAATCGATTCAAAACTTTGTGAGAAATATGCGCAACTTTTGTCAGAGCAACCCCCGTCTGAATCCACGCTACCTTCAACGTTCAATTCCTTCTTTGCAAGATTCGCGTGGCACGGCCGTCTCTACTCTCCGGCAGACCGGATGATGGCACTGATTGAACTCCTCACGAAATATGTCCTGATTTTCGCTCACGTCTTTGAGCTCGATAAATGTGGTGATATGCCAATAGCCTTCAGCGATGACATCTCCGCCTTCTCGACTGTCCTACGCGAAATCCGCGAGGGAACGGATCGGCTAGGGCTAGTTGAACGCTTTGAGGTGTTCGGTGGTGTCGCTAGTGTACTCGAGTCTAGCGAGCTCCAAGATGAGAGTCGCAATCGATATGCTGGCCGCCTATCCCTTCAGAGCGATTTTGGGTGGTGTGTGCATCTGGACACATATGGTGACCGTGATCCAGCTGTCGTTCGGCCTGAGCTCGTACACATTCGCAAGGGTACGCCCACAAATTCAAGAACAGGGGAGCGGAAATTGCGGATAAGAGATGGGAGTGGTTTTGTCGGAGGCGAGAAATCCTGCGTTTGCCCCGTTGAGAGAGGCCTGACGTACACTCCGCGCACATTTGCGAACTACACTTCTCGGAAAGATTACCATAAGTCTCTTGCGTACGAATTCCAAATAACCCTTGCTATTGCATTTCAGTCAGTCCCTGAGTGGCAGAATTGTGGAGGTTCCAAATCTTTCAAAGAACGTATGCGCCACAGCGAGATGCATGAAAATTTGTGGAACACGCATCTGACTCCAAAATGCAGCCACAGGCACCGGAACGAACGGAAACAGGCAAATATCAAACTCGGTCCAGACGCAGCGGCAGTTCTGGGGTTCTCCGAAAGGCACACCCACGACGAAATCCTGCCGGAGAGAATCATTATTTTATTGACAAAAGGCGACGCTTACGTAAGATGGCTTGCAATCTGGCATGCGTGCGCCGACGCCGGTGACACGGGACGGAAGATAATGCTGCGCGGGGACAAATGTTGCGAGTCCTGCGCTCTTGACTACGTGGCTTCACAGCAGGGGAAATGGTACCTTATTTTGTAGATATAGGCTCAGTTGTCTCGACTCAACATCTTGCTTTGAAAAGACGCGAGCATTTGGGCTGGGAAGATTGTCACGACCCCGGATATCATCCGGCAACAAACCTTGTGGGCGGGGGGGGGGGGGGGGGGGGGGGGGGGGGGGGGGGGGAGGCGGTCGGATAATTCGTGGTGTCTGGCGTGTAGTTTGGCGTCCGAGTCAACAATACATAGTTGAAGTATATGTAGCAATTTGAATTAACTTTTCACTTGATCCCTGGGACACCGCCAACGCAAGGCCGTTCTTCGTTCTTCGTTCCATTGCGGGCGCAATGAATTCGCCTGCGTATCCAAAAGGACGAGAACAGGTGTCAAGGCTAGTTACGGAGAAGATGCAGTATGGCACCTTTCGTCAATTTGCTAAGATCTGAAGAAGGGAGACAATGAGAAAAGTTGCTGTTCTCTTTTATGTTGTTGATCTGAGCTGGACTCGGCATGGTTTAGGCACCTGGCAAATCTGGACAACACACACACACATATATACAAGTATACAACGATGCAACTCCAATGCCGGATGATGTGAGTTGAGGAAGATGCAGGACACCGGCATCCTGTAGAGGTTTCCTGTGAACAACGTTGGCAGCGGCTGATTGATTCGCTCCATGGGATGTCCCATCGGTTCGTTGCCTGGTTGGATAGCACGTGGCGGCATGGGGATAAGTGGAATTTCCCCTCTCCATCTCTCTGTCCTGTAAGGGAACACTGGCAGGACTCGGTACCGGGCAAACAGGAGTCAAAGTTGAACGCAGGACCCAGTTTAGAGTGTCGTTTTCGGAGAGTGGAGTGTCCGAATAGAGCGCTAGCGCAAAAGAATCATACTCCAAATTAGGAAATTTCTTAGAAGGCCAATCAGACCACGCGGCTTTTTGATGGATGACTAACGGACGGCACGACGATTGGCTGGCTGGACGTCAGGAGTAAGGATCTCCATCCACAAAGACTGCTCCCTTTCTCTCTCATAATCACGTCGCATGTTCGGGTTTAATTGATTGTAAAGCAGTCCGAATATGAGGGCTTTGCTGGCATGGTTGGTTCGTCAGGTTGGACCTTTAGAGAGACCGAAGGAAGGCAGACTCCCAGGATAAAAGGGACGGTTTCCCTTCATCTAGCAGGATGGGTTCTCAGGTCAACATCAATCAGCTATTTCAGATAGTAGTACAGACGACTTGAGGATCTGAGAAGAAGAAGACGAGAAACCACCACAAGCAAACAATCTCTCACACCCATGGCCACCTACGAGACCGCCCAGGACAAATTCGTCACCATCAACGGCATCAAGCATGCCTACCGCCTATTCGGCCAAACCAGCGGGACCCCATTGTTCCTCCACGTGCATTTCCGCGGTAACATGGACTGGTGGGACCCGATCTTCCTCAACCGGCTGGCGGCCAAGCGTCCGATCTTGCTGGTTGACAACACGGGAGTGGGCCGCAGTGAAGGCGAAGTCGGGACCAGTTTCGTCGCGTGGGCGCAGACCATCATCGACGTGGCCGCGGCGCTGCACATCCCCAAGCTGGACGTCCTGGGTTTCTCGATGGGCGGCTTCGCCGCGCAGCGTATGGTCTTGCAAGCTCCGAAGCTGGTGCGCCGGCTAATCGTGGCGGGCGCGGGGCCCTCGGCGGGCGAGGGTGTCGTGGGCGGGGACCCTAAGTACTTCGCGGAAGTGGCGGGCGCGACGACGCTCGAGGACGCCAACACGGGGCTGATGCACACCTTCTTCTCACCGTCCGCAAAAAAACAGACTAAGGCGGCGGAGTGGATCGAGCGCATGAGCTCGGCGCGCAAGGACCGCGCACCCCTCCTGCATGAGCAAGGAACACAACGCCAGATCGCGGCTGTGCAGCGCTGGTTCTCGGGCGACTTCCGCGATGAGGGCTCCTTCGACATGCTCGACCGCATCATTGTCCCGACCCTCGTGGCTAACGGCTCCAACGACCTCCTCGTCCCCACGGAGAACAGCATCGTGATGTGGAAGCGCCTCACCAACTGCGACGCCAGCCTGCACCTGTACCCGGATTCGGGACATGGGTTTTTGGGCGAGTACAATGTGCACTTTTCGCAGCTGGTGAATGATTTCTTGGACGAGTAAAAAGGCAAAAAGGGAAGTAGAAAGGGTAGAATGGTCATCATCTGTCTCTTTGCCCCTGCTCGAAGGGGCTCGTTATGCTAGATTGAGTAAATGCCTTGTAGCTAGTCGGAGATATCATCCACCTCAAATATCTTGGGTCACTACCCGCTAATCCAATACTAGTTTGTCTGTCCGTCTGCGGGGAATCCTGTTTCTCCTCATCTATCCGGGACCTGCGCCGTCGCCTGTTCGTTGAATTGTATCAACCCCTATCGCGTCAAGCGGTTTCCAAATCCGATCCAAGGTGCGGCAATGCCTTGTACCGCCCGAATTGTCCAAAATTTTTTGTGCCAAAGAGGTAGACCTCTATCTTCAATCGAAAGCTCACAGCCTTTCTCGTATGCTGGACGCTTTCGGCACTCAATATCCCTCACCCGGCCCTCTCATATCCATCTATATCTTGATCTTCCTACCCACTCCCACTCAGTCTTCATTGTCCGAGGCTTGTGTGTGTGGAACTGAACGGGGTCCTTGAGGCCAGATCATGGCATTCTATTTTCGAGCGACACAATAGCTAGCGAAAACAGAGCAATTCCAAGCTCCTTGGATTGACCAATTCGGCGCCGTAGCAGGGATCAAAATCTCTCTCTATCTCCAGTCTTCCGCAACACGAGGGACATCATGTAGCGGCCAAGTGTACCAGTAAGCACCAAGATTTGAGTCATGATCGTCTCGTTCGGGGGTAGTTGGGTTCTGAATATACTTCCCAAGGGTCGGAGACAGACACGTCTGTTAAACCTATCTGGGGACCTTAAAGTTGATCAATTGAGAAGGAAGAGACGTTCTATCTGTGACGGTAGAGACTTAAATACTAGCCTGTACCGCAGTGCCAGGATTTCCAGGATATTGCCTCGTCGGGGTAGTCCGACAACCTCCACCAGGTCTCGAACTCCTTGTGGCCAGGTTCGAACAGCTTCGGGAATTCACCGACAGCATGGTTCCCTGGAGCTGTGCCTGCCATCGCCACGAGTCCAAAATATTCTCAACGTGGCTGAATTCCCAAACTGACGTTCGACGTCGTTGGTCTTGAGCATCAAGCCCTCGCAGTCCGTCGAACACGAATCTTAAGCGGACCTGATCATCCTCTCGCAGATTTGCGAGATCTTCCATTGTTTGCGTGAGGGCAGCTGTCTGGCGGCGAACACAACTGATTGACTTCCGCCATTTAGTACGGGTGTTGAAGGTCGAGTAGTCAATTCCTGTCCTTGTCAGAGTTCTCTGCAGTTTCTCGCATGCATCATTCACTGATTCGTGCAGCTCGGGTTGGAATGTCACAATAACTTCGTTCCATATTGTAAGAGGAAGCTGTGCTGCTTTTCCCAGATAAGTTGCGAGGATATTGTGAGGGTTCTTCAAGGTATTACACTGGCAATGTTTCCCGCTTGCGATGTATATGCGCAGGGGGAAGTGCTTGGTATAGTGTAGGATCTCATTCCTGACCTTGTGAGAAGTTCGCAGAAGGGAGGTGAGTGTAGCAGGGCAAACATCGCCGTAGGAGCTGGGAAATATCGTGACACCATTCTTTGGAATGTGGTATTTGAGGACTTCCAAAAGGATCTCATCAGGAATGTGTGGCATGGAAGAAGGACCGCCTTCATTGTTTTCAGCATATTTGACATGATCGATATTGATCAAAGAGTCCTGAGAATGTTGCGTAGTTGGAGGAGCGGTGACTGAATCCATGGTCGAGTTTGTGTGTGGGACTGTCTGAGGCGTGGTGAGTTGGAGGACCTGAGTATTCTGAGTATCTGCGCGTTGGGACAATCTCTAAAATAATTGGACCGATGGGAAGGTACTCTTTATGTTGAGCTCCTGAATGTTGTCCGAATATATATCTCCAACATAAAAAGGCTGAATGGAGGACGAAGGCGGCTTGAGGTTCTCGACGTCCTCCAAGGCCGCAAGGCACCCCTGGGAAGCACCAAACCCACAACACTCACGCAGTCGGTTAGCAAACCTACAGTAAGACTGGGCTTACCTTTGGAATGGCCATACAGGAGAGGCGTGACAGCGGATCCAACCCAGGTTTCCAAAGGGCTGAAGCTGGTGAGAGTTTGGTTCGAATGGAGGATGTTGGGAATGCTGCGAGACCCATTTCCACGCGACAATACATATTACTTTGCTCCTCCACTAATTGGTTCTTCCTGTTTCTTTATTTTGTTCACTTCTTGTAATAATCGCAGACATAAAGCACCACTTGGTCAAGACGCACTAGCAGCCCAAAAAGTTCCAACAAGGTCTTCAAACTGCCATCGACATGGAGAGCAAAGCTCAGTCGTCCCTGCAAGATAATCGTATGAGTGAACTTGGGAGGAATATGGGCTCCTGCAGGCTGGATATATAACACCTTCCAAATGAAATCTTGGTCGAAATCATCTCGTGCTTCATTCCACGTGGCGGCCTCTGCGTCTCAAACCACCCCGAGTACTACTCCGACTTTGCCACAATTAGGTCGCTTCTGAGGGTCAGTCGCGCGGTGAGAGACGAGATCCTTCATCGCATATTCAACCTACCATTACAAGTTTACATTACGAGCGGAAATGAATGTCGCTGTCAAGATGGGACGAGGCCTTTCGACAAGACATCCTTAGGCAAGGCAGCCGCTCTCCCATTACGCAGATTTCGAGAGATAATTGTGACTTTTGTTCCATACTTTTTGAAGCCGCCATGCGGCCACAGTAACCAGGGCGAGTGGAACGCGGAATTTTTGAGTGGTGAAAGAGGAGTGCGGAAGTTCAGGAGAGACATGCATTGCATAACACGCCAGTCCTGGGTCCTCGCAGCAGCAATGGAAAGACATCCAGACATAATGCCGGAACTTCCCCCCCGCTTCAGGTTCAAATGGGACGGAAGCAAGGGTGTCGACGAGGCAAATATGTCACGGAGGATACCTTTATGGGAGGTTTTGGTGCTTGAGTGGCCACTGGAGAGGTGGAGATGGGTCACCACTCCGGAGACCTTGCGCCATAACCCGCACCATCAGATCGACTTGCCAGAGAAAATCGTGACTGCAATTGTCAGAATCTTGAATGTCGACCACGACTATGTCATGACCGGGGATCCTCTGGAAGAGTGCTCGACGCTGGTCGCTCGTTCCTGGAAAGGTCTCTGGCAAGGATTTCAGACGGATTTGACTTGGTCTATTTTACAGTCTTCGTTCAGCAAGAACACAGTCAACCTTCGTTTCATCATCACTGTCAGAAAGGATGCAGCAATCAGTGGTGCAGGATGCACCTATGAAGCAGAGTGCATACTTCAACAGACGCGGACGCCCTGAACCAACATCAAAATAACGTTCGAGGAGAACGTGCCACCCACGAGAACTCGAGCGAAAGACGTCGTCACGCCGCGAATGGTGTATCCCGTCTAAACTCCCAATTACCAGCACCAGACATTTCAATAACACGTTGATACCCCAAGACACCTTGGATAAACGTAAGAATCAAAGCGACATTTACCACCACATGCCGTTGATAATGATCAAAAGGTTCGATGGTCAACGAGTCTGAAAACAGCCCGAAACCAAAGCTCGACTCGTTCAGCTTAATGCGCAGGTACGGGATCTGAGAGGCCCGTTAGTTGAAAAGACTAGATAGTATATACAATAAATAGTATGTATTTGAGATCAAAATCACGCACACGCACCTTTCGGACGTCTTGGGGATCAGTCCTGATCCACCGTTTAAGATACTCGGCCAAAAGCCGCAGACTGGGCTCATGCGTGGCGTTTACCGTGACCTTGTTCAACCCGTTCGAGGATACCACCATCAGATACGGAGTCGTGGTTTGAAAGAGAATCTCGGGCCTCGGCAGCGTCTCAAGCGAGGGCAAGACATCTGTATTCGGCTCTGGCGTATATGGGACTGCCACACGGTTTGTCGTGCTGATGCTGATACTAGCACTTTTTGTTTCAGGGACAGACTCCAATTCTGCCCAGTCTTCATCATCGTGGATCTGGTGGTGTCCCTTGACCGCCTCTTGGTCGTGGGAAGACGACGTTGGAGGGTCAAATATTGATTCGAAGTCCTCCGCGAAAGCCGATGCGGCATGTGTGGTTTGGAACTTCGCGGTTTTGGGTAGCAAGATGATGAATGTCGATTTTGTCCCAGACCATGCGGTTCGGACTCTGGGTCCATAGGCTGCAACCTATAACCATGCACTACATGTCAGCGGACGTCTCGCCCTCTCCTTCCTCTCTCTTTCCCGCTACTCCATTTTCTGTTCTGAAGGGGGCGTTTACCTGAATAGACAGCTTCACGAAATTGACGAGTTTGAGTCTTTCAAGAAATAGCTCTGTCCAGGCTTCAAATCGGCTATCATCTTCTAGTCTCTTGCCGAGACTGTGGCACCACGCCTCCACTAGTTTGGCGATGGTGGGGACGAAGGTCGCTTTGTCGGGACACAGGGACTCCAGCTCAGCCCAGAGCATGTGCCATTCTGCAGTGCACGACACAGGGTACCCGACGATCTCTTTCAATTCCACAAAGGATTTCTGCACAGCGCCGTCATCCTTTTCGAAGAGGTCGCGAATGTCTTTTCGGATTTGCAAGGGTCTACACACGCTTGTTAGAATCCTTTTATGACCAAGGTGGATATCCGTAGATAACTTACAGTTGAGACATGAAGCGTGCAGAGGTCAGAGAGAAGTGTGACTACAAGCTCAGTCGTGTACCTACGGCTCACCCATATTTTATTTGGGGGAGGGGGGGAAGCTTGGAAAACCCCCAGAAATGCACAGCGGAAACTCTCGGTTTTGGAAAAAGGGGCTCGTAGCCAAGGCTTGGCAACTATGGTGCCTGTCGAGCCTACTTGGGTACAGTACGTGGTACGTGACGTACCTCAACTATGGCTCAGCCTCGTAAGTCTCGGCGTCTGCTACTCAGGTTAAAGTGCTCAGGCTGATTAGGCGTCTGCTCAACTTCTCATCCTTCTCATCGCCCACGATCAATCTCATTTCTGAGCCTCGCCCCTCCATTGCCATCGGATATCCACTGCATATTCTTGGACTAACCCAATTTGGCTAGGTAAGTGATCTCTTGGCAAAGCGGCAACCTGCCACTTGCCTGTCACCTACAAGTACCCTGTACAAGTAGTAGGCTACCTGAAGCCACTTCTGTCACACAAGATAGATATTCTCTTTCTTCAATCAAAAAATCGAACTATTTCTGACCCCAGATTGGTTCAATACTTATACACGACTCCCTTGCCTCTATTATCAAAATACTATCACGCGCCCAGAGACGACCTTCTATGCCGTACCCGGAACGAAACCTGCGGCGATGCAGAATTGTTTCGAATCAGTTACTCTGTCCTTGTTGATCGGGGACCGGGCCTCAAATTTCAGAGTCCGCCCCTCAATAATGATCCAGACATCGTATACAATCTCGTAATAAGAATAGGATTTGCCCTGGTCGTTCATCTCGGTTTTCGGCTGGATGAGATGCTCCGTCTTCAAGAAAGTGAGGTCGGCCAGGATGCTCCCGGTCTCTTGAGCTCTTAGTTGTAGTGGTTAGATTAGGGTTGGGATTTCAACCGACATGGGTGAAACCGACAGTATTTCTTACCTTTGTTCATCTTGTGTCCGACTTTGTATCCAGATGGATGCCGGCTCGAAGAGACATAGAGAACTTCTTCGCATAAGAGCTGCGGCTCTGAAACTTTGAAGATGTGCCTCGACGTAAACGAGGTCTTATACCTGGTCGGCACAGGAGTGTCCTAGAATTCTAATGTTAAAAAGTATGACAGAAGCAATTTGACCACGAAATATGTCTAACAGACCTTGTTGACAACCCATTCAATAGTGTCCATGATATACAATTCTCCATCAGCCGGTGAGCGGGTAACCCTGAACTTCCTGTGCTTGGGATCATCCTCGTTGTAGCGCTCTGATCGAAGAATTCCGTAGCTTGACCTGGTAATTCTCTCGGGGCCGTCTTCTTTTCTCAAGGCCCGCAGCACAGCACCGCGCGCAACAGCTGACTGGACGTGACGTGATCGCTCAAGATCAATCGGCTGGCCTAGAAAATTTCGCTCCTTCCGCAGAACTTTTTTGAGATGATTAATCAGTGACGGTGACTCTCCAAAGCCTCCAATTACAATGACGGTTTGGACATTGACCCCCTTTTCTTTAGCTGCGTTGAGTTGCTTCACCATTAAATCTGAGACGCCCCGGATACAGTCTTTGAAAACTTCATACATCTCCTTCCAGGTCACATCCAATGTGTTCTTGCGAAGCCTCTGTTCCGGATCTGCTTGGAGGCCGTAAATATAGAGCGAGTCAAAGTTGGCTTTCTTGTCAAGTATATTAATCTTCCTCTTCTCAGTTTCGAAGTCCTGGACCAATTTGGAGATGACACTCTCCAGGGGCATGTCTTGCCCAGTGAATGTGGCATGTTCAAGCCGTTGCTGCAGCAGAATCTTGAAATTCTCATTCAAGAAACTGGACCCACAACAGACCCCATCAGGTTTGATCACTTCTTTCAACCGAATTGGATTAGTCTGGGTCAACGTGTAGATGACGGCATCCACTGTGCCGCCACCACAGTCCAAGAGTAAGAACGACTCGCCAGTTGTCATCTTAGACAAGTAGTCGCGATTTTCGAGCGCGTAAGCTGCCGCAGCCTCTGATTCAGCAACAATGAATAAGTCTCGGATGACGTCTTGCTCGAGACGCGCAAGCCCGGCCATTTTAGCAGCCTTTGTCAAAGCATCTTGCATGACGCGACAAGCTGTATCCGTCCAGGAGCTAGGCACGCTTAATACAAACTCCACAGGGCTACCCCTGCAAATGCTATGAACGGCAGTTAGTCTTTCTTTTGTATGCTTGAGCAACTGTTCAAGGTACTCGGCGATAATGTCTACTACCTTGGCAGGCTTCAACATGCTCATGACCCGGGCACTTTTTCTGCGCAGGTCTCTTGTCGCCGGGCTGTCGTCCAGTAGTAGCTTAAAGTTTTTCAAGTGTGCGACCTCTGAATGTATGAGATGTGGCTTCATCAGTCGAGAGTAAACGCCCCACCCCCAGCTTAAGATCCTGGTTTTGTGCTCTCCAGCCTGAGGAACTGTCAACTGCTCCTCCTCTAGATCAGAGTCGTTAGTTGAAGAAGAGGCCCAGTCTTCATCCATCGAGCAACATGATGCATTATCTGAGAGCCGTGATTCGGTTTGATCTTCAAACATCGCCCTGTCTTTCTGTGTATAGCACATGAGCTCCGTTGGAACGGTCTGGTGGTATGCGAGGAGATCGGCAGATGGGCCAAGTAGTACCGTGTCAGGGAAGTTGTCGATACACTCGATGGATTCGATTCCAACTAGGTGAGTTGGAGTGTCGGGTTCGAGGCGGCTGAACGCGACGGAAGAAAATGTAGTCCCAAAGTCGATAGCAATGATGAATTTTGGTAGCCTCAGCTCCTCTGAATCTTGCTCTATGCTTTGAATAGGTTCACAGTGATTCTCTGCCATCAGGAATGTTTGACCAGGTCGGAGAGTTCTCCGTCCACGAGTCTCATCCTGGGGGAGGTCTTCTCCGCAGGATTCGGAAATATCAAGCATTTCAGCATCCTCTGAAAGCTCGTCCGAAGGGAGCCTTCGAAATTCTTCAGCATTCTCGGCCATGGCGATGACCTCCTGGACCTCACAGCGTCCCGGCCTCTTAGAAGGCAGGACGAACCGAATATATTCACCATAAACTGTTGGCCGAGTGTGCCTGATCTGCGGCTCTGCTCCTAAGCCTCCTGGCATGGAGCCTGCGAACGCCTTGTTGCCTAGTAGTGGTGTCATGGGTCGGAGAACCTCAGCTAGCGCGAGGACTTGTCGAATAATGGGATGCGTATGTGTGACCGTTCCGATGAGAGTATCAGCCGCCTGAAATGCAGCACGTCCGTGTGGTTGACAGTTAGAATGACTTTCGGGGAAGAGAGGGCCTATTCCCCGTGCTTTGTGCAGGAATCTTGAGCTCTCCCCTGTTCCCTCTACCTGCAGGTTTTGAGACAATTGGGGCCGGACCAGGTTTCCCTAGCCGCCCTCACAGGCTTATCTGCCCCAATAAACGATGTGGGTCAGACAAACTTCTGCGTTTTTAGCGTATCGGGGGCTGGATATATCAAAGTATAGTACCGAGGTACCAGCGAGTGCCCAGTAGGTACTCGGTACTTCTGTTTGTGATCAAAAAGAGGTATCGGGGTTGGTATCTATGCCAGTCGTTATCAAGGTTCATCACACATTTAGTCGTACGAAGTACGGAGTATTCCTGTGAACGTTAAGTACAGGCGGATGCAGCTTCACTAGGCTGAAGAACAAGGATGTATGGAGTTGGTTCCTACTCCCTATTCCTAGCCTCCTCGTGACCCAATCAACAAAAATTGCCCTGCATCGATAGGGGCGCATTTCGAGCCAGGCTTTGTGAAGATCCACTGTGACAGTTGCCTTGTTGTCTGGGCAAACCTTGGCCAGGTTCGCACCCACTGGTACAGGACACTGTTCATCTCATTCTCTTGCGTGAAGCCGTTCCCAGAGCATACCAAGCTATGGATTCAAAGCGAAGTCGCAAGCAGCGATCCGACATCAATGGAACTCAAGTTGACGCTCTTCTCTATTCTGAACGCGGTCTCAAGATACTAGCCCACCTGGAGCGCAGTGTCTTGGACGGTCTTCCAGAAGAGTCCTTCAAATCAGATGTTATTTCCTACTACCGAGACGAGCTCAGCACCGCAGTTTCCGTGGGCGAAATCGAGAGTAAGCTCCCGCTTTTCTGGTCAAAGTGGTGCCCCATTGGGAAAAACCCGACCCGTTGGAAAGAAATCTACCGTCTCGGACTCAAAGGGCTGCCTCGTCTTGAACATGACAAGGCAGAATGGGTGAGGAAGAAAGCAATCGAGTTGCAAAGCAAGTACAGAGCTCTACGCCGCCTAAGGAGTGCTTCGGCATTGCCTCCGACTTCTCGAAGCACACCTAAAAGACCATCAGACTGTCTAGTTGGAGATTTGGCGAGCGGTCGAGCTCAAGGACGTCGGCAATATGATGGACCTCTCAAACAAAAGAGAAAAAGGAAGAGGACGGCATCAATGGTAGGCTACCAGCCATTCTGCCTCAAAGACAGTCCTTCTCACGTATCTACCTCTTTTAGTACGCTCGCAGTACGCCCCTTAAAAGGTCGGCGTCTCCATTTCCTCCAGCAACGAGATGGCCTAGCGTCGCACCCGAATTTCGGCGCTGCCAGGAGGGCACTTCAGGTGTTGAAGTTTCGTTTCAAACGCCCATTAATCCAGTCGCTGGGAAACCGTCACCAACAATTAGTCTTCGAGAATACTCTCAGCAGCTCCCCGAGAATGTCGCTGAGATGGAAAATGGACTGGTTGTATCTAACCAACCATCTCCATCCGGAACACACCTTACGGATGCTGAACGACGACATTTCTTGGAGACGATGGCGGAATTGGACGACTTCAGAAATCAGAACACTCAGCTGAGCTTGGCACTGGACACTGCAAGAAGTGAAAAAGCTCAATTGATGTTGGAGTTGGACGAGTTGAGAATTCAAGCCACCGATGATACACGGTATTGGAAGAAGCTGTATCGCAAAACCCGGAAACGGCGGGATTCCCTCAAACGTCGCAACAAGCATATGCAAGTTGAACTTGTCAAATCTACCACAGGTGAGACGAGCAAAACCAACTTGACACTCCGCCGCGAGAACGACCTCCTCCGGGAAAAACTGGATAGCTACCAGGTCACTTTCCAGTTCCAGAAACCCTTTAGCGAGAATTTCCGAGCACAGAATGTAGAAAAAGTCATCGATCACGTCGAATCGGCCCGGTCAAAGCTCTTCAAGATCTTACAAGGACAAGATGTCTTGTTTGCTATTGAGAAGCTGGATGGCGTAAGCGGTTTGGCCCTTGCGGCGCTCTTTAAAAGGGCGCTGGGCCCTGACGCTACTACCCTCGATACCTCTACCGGAGGCTTGACTCTCACCGACCAGCTCTGCACGGCCACATTACAGGCGGTTGTCCTAAGCCTAGTTTCTGCAGCCATCTGCATATGGGTGTTTGAAGCCGAGGTGGGGGCGCTGTTCCAGGAGAATGATCTTTTCTTCTCGAAGCTCCAAGACCTCCTGGCTACACAAGGTCAGTAAATTCCTTTTGAAGGGACCAAAGCCTCGGCTGATCCAATCTGTAGACAGGAAACTGGCAGACAGCTTTCTATACGCTGCCCTCGAAAAGTGCATCGACGACCCTTCTGTAGGCGACTTGACGATTCCGAGGCGAGCGCGGCACCTCTCCCAACGGACACTAGACGCCATCAGGCCTCTGCTGGATGCTCACAGACACCTGGACGACCAATATGTCGAGGTCGCAGACAGATGGGGTGAATATGAACAGCAGATGACTGAGATCTTCAAACAGGCGCTGTACGCAAAATCAAGGCTCATCTTGACCACTGATCTGTATAAGTGCGTCCTTCATTTACCTGGGACATCTTGTGACAGAGTCAGTATGGAGAAGAGAGGTGGCGCAGAAACCGAGCCCGATGCAGTGATAGGCATCACAATCTTTCCAGGTCTGCTTCGGTATGCTTCTGAGGAAGGATTTAATTTCAACCGGTTTTTGACGGGGAACAAAACGCCTAGGAATGTCGCAGCCAACGTGCTGAGGAAAGCGGTAGTTTGCACGAGGTAGAGTGGGTTTGATCGGTAGTGACGAGAAACTTTTGATCATCCTACCATTACGCTTGTTCACATGTCCTCGTCCTTGCATTCGCTATGTCCATGTTTCACTTCCACACTGATAGCATTGTATTATGTTGGCCCCACCGATTCCACCGCATTCCCTCACTGTTCGCAATATTCTCAGATCGATGGATGGGTTTCCCTTTTCGAAATGCAAGTGACGGGGATAATAAAACGTTTGCCGCTCAACCAGCGGGCGGGTGCCTTCAGTCATAGTCTATTGCTCAGCCCGAGTGGACCTTGTTTGGACCCATTGGGATGGACCCATCGACCGTCAACCGGGGAGCCTGGTGACTCCGGGCTGGTGAATGGGTCGCATTGTTTGCCTTGCAACTGCCTTGCACTAGTTGTTTCGGCCCTCCCGGCCGGCGCTCTAGCATATCCACCCCCTTCGGTTGGCTTCTGAGGAACCTGCATACGAGTAGAAGGTCCGCTTATTTTGCAACCTACTCGTACGTGCATTTGGATATCAGTCAGGACTTCCACCGTTCCCTCCTGGAACCTTGGAGCCCACAGATCGTGGGTATCAGCTTCCGAACCGCGCGCCTAACGCGCATCCATCACGTTTCCATAACCAGTTCTCCAGTCAAATTTCAGACCGTCATGAATCAACCCGAGGAGAATCCCAAGCTCAGCACAGAGGAGTATATTGAGCTGATGAAAGACCACGGCATCTCGTTCGAAGGACGTATCCAACCAGAAAAATGGGGCGAGTATACCGCGATCTTCGAAGAAATACGTCGCATCGGCAAGATGGGATTCAAAGAATTCACTGACATGTTCCATCCCGAGGATAAATTTGCAGTCGACAAAACGTATAAAGCGGTGAGGCTGAGTGAAAAGGCGTGGAATTGCTTGGAAAGCAGGGACAGCGAACAAGGATGGAGAAAGGAGGTTGAATACAGGGCTTTTGAATGTTTCGATTCGGAAGTCATATGGTGGTAGTCCCGCTTCTGCTTATGCTCTCAGCAAAACCGAATGTCTTTAACCAGCTGACCGAAATAATAGTCGTATCTGCAGGAAGCGTCTTTGGAAACCAATGTTCGAGGCGAAGCCAGCTGACCCAGCTGAAGTCAAGAGGCTTCAAAGAAGACGGCGAAAAAGGGTCTTATGTGGATGTACTCGCCTGGAGCAGACACAAACAAAAGTGTGGGTTCCAAATAGATCGTTGAAACGTGCGAAGGATAATCAATTTCTGACATGGAGCTGCAGGACAGACCAATATTCTCGGCTGTTTTACAGAGAACTTGATAAACACGTTGACCACGAGGACATGACAGATTCCGTGAAGAGGAGGTTGAAAGGACAAAGACCGGATAGGGTGATCGGTCTTCGGCCGACTGGTACTTTGCGGCATCATCTCCGGTCTCTGCAGGCCAAGTACTGCCCGTTCAAAAAGGCCAACGTCGTCTTTCCATTTATTGTGATCGAAGCAAAAACCGCCGAGAACACTGCCGCCAGTTTCCCAAGTATGCTCCGACAGACGGCTTTCGTCATTCGGACATGTCTTCGCTTGCAGCAGAATCTCCAACGAGAGACTAGGATGCCACACCAGTGCCTAGTTTGGTCATTCTTGATCATGGGGGAAGAGTGGCGCCTCTACGCTGCTGTTCCAGATGGATCTGATGTGGTTAGTTGCGGGCAAACATTTCCATTAATATGCAAGGCACGCCAGGCTAACAATTTCGAAACAGCAAATCTTTGACCTTTGGCATGGAACAGTTCTCTTCCCCGAAGGTGCCCTTCAACTGCTGCTGATAATTGAACATCTCTGTGACTGGGCATGTGAAGTTTATCGGATGAGTGTGCTTACGTGCTTGGCCGGTGGCAGGGATAATCTTCTCAGTTCCAGACTCAGCCCAAGTGGAACTGATATGTCCTCGCAGCCCGGTGATACGGAGCTCACAGCATCGCGGGCAATATCTCTCCCTTCGAGATCGTCCCTGATGAGGGAGCTCCCGAACGGTGACATGGCCGGATTACTGAAGGATAAATCCTCCGGTCCTCTAGAATTCGGCCCTTTGGTTCAGATTGACTCTATTGCTTCGCCACATGGACAAGATTACCGTCACTGGCGGCGATGGGCCACGAATGAGCAAGATCTCAGTCTCTGGACTGGAAAAGCTACCATCCGGCACTCAAATCAAGTGGAGCTGAGTTTTGTACAAGTGGCGATGCCCACTGAAGTCCTCCTCCTCGATGCCTGCTTGACCTCCTGCTTCCCATATCTAACGCCCAAGGAAGCTGCAAGAAAACTCTTGGTCTCCCTGCTGGATGATGATTTGGCGGTGACGGCTTCCATGGAAGCCACGTCCCGGCAAGGATACCAATTCCACAACTCCACTCTCGACGTCCGAGCTTTGATATATTTTCGATCAGCATTGAACCCTGAAGACTGGGGAATTGCCCGGCACGTTCTAGCCATCTTGTGTGACCAGGAAGCATTGAGAGCGCTAGCTGAGATTGCAGAGCTCAATCCTGACATCTACCCAACCTCGGAGAGATGTGATCGCCCTGACTGTGAGCGGTTCAAACAGGCGATCGACTGGGTAAAAGCTGTGGGGGGAACGAAGTCGGCAGGACTGGCCCTGGCACGGCGTCAGCTCTGTTTAAGATCCGTCAGTAGTAAAGACGGGTCGTCTATGAAGTTTGAGTGGACAAAATTCTGTCCGCAGAGTGATGATGGGCTTTCAGGAGAAGATCTTCTGGGGATAATGTCACATATCTCTGCGAGTCCAGAAGCGGCTGTACCAGCACTCCTGACACCATACATCAAGAAGAACCGGTGCACATACGCCGTTCAAGTTAGCAGTGATGATCAAGGACCGCCGTCAACGGTGCTCGAGATCCCCAACCTTCTAACATCCGGTGCTCTCATCAAGAAGCCGACAACTGGATGGCCCGAGACAACGCAGGACTTCTGCTTCTTGGTCACGAATGAGACCGTCCGCTTTGACGACGTGGCCCAGCTTGGGCAGCTTCTGGAAGAATCCAGAAGAGCAAAGGAACTGTACGTGATTGTCAGAAAGAAGGTCACGTACAACCAGAGAGACTTTGCGCTCATCGATTGGTGGATCCGAGTTTTGAAGAACGAGTTGCCTTACGACGCACCTTTCCCCGCTTGAGTATTCCTCCGTATAAAACGGGAGCGGGGGAAAAAAGGGGCTCGCGAACAATCTCAGCCTTGCGGCCCTTCTTCAAATGGGGTCGCCATGTAGAATTCAATGGTCGACCTTTTCTCTGATTCCCTTTGTCTGTGCATCTCTTGCTGTGAAGGCGTATTCTTTCTCGTACTGTTATACCGTTGAATAGCACTGACAAATGCTGCGTCCCTGGACAGGGCAGACCGCCATTTGCGACAGAGGCGCGGTTTGAGGGGGAAGCTACTTTCGGCCCCCACGAGATTGAACTCTTCAGCCCTAGTATCCGCTGTTCCTAGCTCTCCCACGACCAGCCTTGTGCTGCCTTGTGCCCCGCCAGCGTCGCCTAAGTTCGCCTCGCTCTCTGGGCATGCTTGGCTAGTGCTGCACGGCTCCGAGTGGTTGGTGTCGAGAAACTCACGCACCGGAGTCCAGCCTACGCCACAGGGGCATCAGTGCCGCACTACATACTTGGACTCCTCGTATTCATGTCCCTGGCGTCCATCTCGTTCACCTTTAATACATGCAAGCCCAGACTGCCCGCGTGGGTGCGAAAAACCAAAAGGCATAAAGAGGCGGTGACGCTTCCTGTGGTGAGGAAAATGGGTTCTTCCATTTCCCCCAGATAATTGGATTCCCCTGTCCCGAAAAAGAAAAAGCAGAAGAAATAAAAACATGCCTCTCAAAGCACCCGTCGACAAATTGTCCTTGGCGGTTCGCAAGAATGGTGAGGAGGCAATGCCCATCAATTTTCTACCTATGTGTTTGGACTGATCAGCTATACAGTGAGGGATGAGTGGGAGAGCAAGAAGCCCGAGATTGAGGCCCGGATCTCAAAGGCCTTGGGAGAGGCGTGGACGGTGACGACGAATCCCAACCTATTGTACGTGTACACAGACGACGAATCCTACAAGTCCCGCATCGGAACTGTCATAACATGGTACGCAATCCCCCTCCCTCACTCCCACAATATGTATATATCCTCCTTGCATGACCTCGCTCTGTTGAACTTTCGATCACATCATGCTGAAAAACATGGCCTTCGTGGGGTAGGTACATGGAGCCATTCTGCTCGAACCTCGAATCCTTCATCGAGACCTACGGCGATGACGGTAAGACGGAGCTCAACTCACTGTGCACCAAGCACCAAGTCGAACTGGCCCCTCAAGAGGACGACACCAAGTTCTCGTACGGTGGTCTGCAGATCAAGGACGGCATGCTTCGGCTGCTGTTCGCCGAGGGCTACCTCGCCTCGAATGTGAGCGACGTGAGCCGCGACTTCCATGAAGCCATCAAAGCTGCGGCCGCAGCGCCCTCAGCAGGGGGTGGCTCGGCGTTCAACATCAACGCCAGACAATCCGTGCGCGAGTCGTACGACCCTGAGATCGGGGCCATGCAGAAGGCGATCGCTGCCCTGGTCGGGATACCTAACATACGCCTGAACGGGAACTTCGAGGCCAACGCCGCGGTCCTGGCCCGGGCCGGCGACGGCAAAGTCCGCAGCGACTGGGACAAGGTGCTTGGGCGTGCGAGCCTGGATTACTTTGACGGGCTCAAGTACCAGCTCGAGCGCGCGGGGTTCCAGGGCGACGACATGCTCCAAGAAGGATTCCAAGAGGCCGTGTCCAAGGGCGAGATCTTGTTGCGTTTCGTCGACAAGCTGAACAAGGGGAGCGGATATCACGAGGTCCTGATCGAGGATGGAATGCTTATTATCCAGGTGAGACTTTCTTGCCTACCTACTTTCTTACCTACTCAAACTAACGCTTTCCAACGTAGACGACACCAGAGTACTTCTGGACCAACGTGTCCGACGTCGGCAGCGAGATCTTAGAAATACTGTGAAGTGAAGCTCGCGGAGCCAGAGAGAATGGATGGATGGCCGCATGGGTCGTATAATGAAGGAAGGACATCTAAACGAATAACCAAGGGCTATCTGTCTACGTTATGATAGAAAATCATTACGTCTGATCTCATCAGATGACACTTGCTACTTCGATGCTCTCGAGAGCAGCTTCTATCTTCCACATCTTGGTCTGTTGGCGCTTGTTACCTGGTCGCTCAGCCCAGCCCAGCTCAATTTAGGCGATGAAATGTCCTTCCAACACCACTTAGTTCGCCTCGATCCTTGCGCATTCATCTCTACTTGTGGCACTTCCCTGTGTATGTCTGGTCTCAGCCGCCACGGAATCCGCTTAGGAGTAGAACTCGTGAAACGGCTATCCCATATCTTTCTGAACTTTGTCGGCCAGCCATATCTCCCAAAAGCTGTGCTGGACGTCGGCGGTTTCTTTTCGGAATTGATCCAGCGGGTACACTTCACGGCGTAAATAGATATATATTCTGGCAATTCCAATCGGGTAAGTGAAGGTTCGTCAACCATTGTGCACCCCCAGTATTTCATCAAGTTCCATATCACGTCTATGCCCCAAATATAATAGTCAGTGCTTTGCGATTTTTCAAAGACAAAATTGAAGTTGACAGCGCGAAGTCGAAGGCTTGAGCCTCTAAGGTGAAAATGATTGTTTCCCAGGGCTCGTGACTGATAAGCAGCATAGTCCGCAGCACGTCCGAACTCAGATGAGCAAAACTTATTACTGAAAATCCTGAGATACTTGTTGTATCTCGCGCAGCTGCAAAATGCCTTGGGCGCGAGGCACACGTTGACATCCTTCCATTTGACTAGGGGAAGATGGACAAGTCGGCTGAGCGAATGAAAATTCGAGCCCCAAAGGTTGAGCTCATCACTCTTATTGAGACCGCTCATGTGAGCACAACATCAATTCTTTCCCGAGGTAATGTATATGTGCAGAGGCTTCGCGAGGATTCGTCGCAAAAGCTCACGCTTGATGCTGAGGGTCGTCTTCAGCAGGGCACGAATGGTGGAAACATCGGCGTCATAGTCGGGGCTGTTGGAAAAGCAGAGCCCAGCCTCGGAGACGAAGCAGGAAACGATCTGAAGGATGATCTCCTGGGGAAGCCTGTAGTTGTTCACCTGGAGCAAGATCAGGTTGTTGTTGCCGTTGGAGCTCGTCAAGGGATCAAAATTCATCGCTCCTGCCTTTGCTGCGAGGCCTTCAAAACCCATGCCCCGGTTGGCCATGATGAGAGCAGCGGGCGCCGCACCGGGATTGAAGCACCGGGAAGTGAAAACCGATCGGTGTTGCGTGCGTAGTCAAGGCTCAGTGCGGGAGGAACTGTCGTACCAGAGAGGTGCGGTAGATGGGACTGGCGAGGTTGCTCTGCAGGTCGACAAAGGGTATGCGGAGGGAGGATGAGAAGAGGAAGAGATAAACAAAGACACGCGAAAACGTGTCGACGCTGCCTCCCCTTCCACAAAAAGGGATTCCCAGCCTCGTCGCCCAGCGTACTGTCCCTCTCACTTGCTGGCTGGCCCGTGATAGATTCAGCAATCAATCAAGTGGGTGAGCGAACAGTCTTTGCGCGATCGTCATAGTCAAAGATGTTCCTATATAAACACATCCCTGTTCCTCGCCGCTGGAATGTATATGAATTCATATGTCTGAAACAAAAAATAGATGATTGAAGATCCTCAAATGTCAGTCCCCGCCAATCCCCACTTCCTTCGTTCTTTGAATAAATAAAGAGAAGAAAGATTCTTCATGTATGTATCCAACAATCGCAGTGTCTGTACTGTCAGATCACGCCCCAATCACGCCGTAAACCGAAATGTCACCTCATCCATCGTGACCGTCCCGTTCTCCACCCCTTCGAGGTACTCTCTGAGCCCGACGCCCCAGCGGCTGTGGCCAACAGTTGGGATATCTAGGTCTGCGGGGCAGGAAGGGATGGGTTCCCAGTTCGAGCGGTTGTTGGGGTCGTCGTTTGAGGTTTGCTTTGTGTTGTTGTTTTCTTCACCTTCGTCGTGGTCGTGGTCGTGGTCGTGGTCGTTGTCGCCCTCCATGAGGTCAGGCAAGTCCAATGTGGGTGCTTTGTGGTTTCCACCCTCTCCAGATCCGCCATGCCGCTTGCTCTTGCTCAAGATGGATATCTTGGCGACCCTCGACCTATCTTCGTCATCATCGTCATCGTCATCATCATTCAGAGGGGTCTTGTCGACCCTTACAAACACAGGGATGACGGCCCCAGTTCCCAAGCTGAATTGCCTATGGCCCAACACTCTCAACATTGCGCCAATCGCGCCCGAATGGCTGGTTATGCTGACTCTCTCTTTCCCAGCAATCAACTCATCGTGGCCCATTAGCCCGTCCATAAACGCTCGTAGGCGCTCCGTCAATGCGCTTTCTGGTTCCCGCCGATCGGGGTCCCAGAACTCATCTGTCTCGGTCAAGTGTGGGTCCAGATCGACGTCGAATGTCGGGAATCGTTGCCGAATATTAGACACGTCGCTCCGTCTGTCGCACGTGTGGATGCCGGTGCCTTCTCTCAGCTTCTCCATCACGGTCGCCTCCAGCCTGGCCCCGTTGGGGAGCGTCCCGGCGAACGAAATCTCGGCCGTCTCCATCGCCCTATCGAGTGGACTGGCCAACCACAGTTCCGGCAGACTCATCTTCTGCTCCCCGATCTGTCTCTGCCAGAACGAATTGACCTCCCTGGCTTGCCTCTGTCCCTCCTTGGACAGGCGGGCGTCACTCCACGTCATTACCCCATCCGGGTCGCCGTCTAGCGCTGCATAGTGGCAGTCCCACGCTACACCGCCATAGTAACGCTCTGCGATATTGTGGTAGCCGTTTCCATGACGGCCAAGGAACAGGAGCAAATACCTCGCAATGGATCCGTGTCGTTTTGCTCTTCTGTCCTCATCTTCGTCCTCTTCCCGCGCAGCGCGGTTCAACCAGGAGATATGGTGCTCGAACCTCTGCCACGGTGTCATGTCCCGGCCGTTGTTGGGGAGTGTCTCGTCTGAATCATACTCCCGGTCAATGAGGCCGAAGTTGGTGGCCATGAAGTCGAACTCGGCTGCGACTGTCGAAGGATCGTCTTGGAGGAAGTATCCATCTAATGTCGTGTATTTGTAGGTGTACCTGTTTTGCGAGGAGGGCTGTTCGGGCTTCTTCTCCTGCTCAATCCCTCCTCCTCCTCCTCCTCCTCCTCCTCCTCCGCCGCCGCCGCCGCCATTATCGTCGTGAATATCCAGCACGCCCTGGCTAGAGGAGGAAAGGAGCGAGGAGCCCATGTCGTTCACTTCAAGCAGGCCGCACACTGCTAGCGAGACGGTGAGGAGGAGGAGGATCTGTCTGGGAGGGAGACACAGTCTTAGCCTTTGCCATGAAAAAAAGAGCGTATTACTTTAGCTTCTTTTGGGAGCCTAGAGGGAGAGGGACAGATATCCACAAACTCACATGGTGGTGGTAGTGCGGCAGAGTCGAGTGGGCCCTCTCCACCGACGATGCACTTTGCGATGCGGTGAGTAGTATATCATTTTGAGATGGACGTCACGAACGGGCCATTCTGGCTGGGACCTTGCATTGTCCTGAGTAACAGCGGTACTCACATCTGGTCAGACAATAATACAGAGAGCGGAGAGGAGCGGCATCCGACTGTAGTGGTGGCGAGGATTAGCCGACTCGCTGACCAGCATTGGCGGGGAAAAGAGGATTCCGGAGGAGTACTTTACATTATGAGTGATTTTGGGCGTGCCACTTTGATGAGGTTTTATTGGAATTTCTAACTAGAGTCACACAGCCTTGCGGTACAGAGTAATAAGTGAAATGGTCTCGCTCGATCAGAACGTCGCCGGCTTGAGAGGACAAATATGACAACCATCAGAGCATGGGACGTCGTGCTGTCGCTGGTCCATCCCGATCAGCTGGGTGTCCAGAATACAAGCGTTCACATTCTCAAGAGCAATGACCTCGCCCAAAAATTCTTCTCGGTTACACGCAGACAGCGCAGATTCAAGATCGTTGATTGACTCCGGCAAGCGTAGAAATGCACGGAGCGTGTCCTCGATCGTCATCCAAGTCCGCGTCCCCGTCCTCTTCACCACGCCTACCAATCTAGACATCTTCCATATCCGCTCGTAGTGGCCATGAGGTCTAAACGCTGTAAGCAGCGTCCATAACAAGTGCTCGGCACTGAGACTACTGTCGTCGTCGTCGTCTTGGAGGATTCGTTGCAGAGCCTGAAGATAGTCCTCGGTTGCTGGCGAAAAGTCACCATACTCGGCCATGACCAGGTTGAGGTGTATCAAACAAGCAATGCGGCAATTATCCACCGCTCGTCGTTTGTCTGGGCTTTCGTACCCCGTCTCGATCGCTTTCAGAGCATTTGCCAATTCTGTACCTTCTCGGAATATCGTTGGCCGATAACGATAGGTTTTGAATCGCCTATGTTGCGCAGCGGTCGAAGGGAGACTCTTCAAGACCTGGCTCCGTCGTGTGTTGAAGAATTCGGTGAATTCCTCACAACTGCGCCTGAAATCTGAGTCTGGGTGTGCTCTTGGAGACACAGGCAACGCCGCCGACGATTCGATGAAGCTGTCCACATACGCCGGGTTGCCATTTGTCGTCGGCCATGACAATGCGATGAAACTCCTGTGGTCCTCATCAGTAGGTTGCCACGTATCAAATGGTAGAATACCAACCAGACCAGCTTTGTATGCATTGGCGGATTGTTCTGAAGCGCTCGAAAGCCCCCCCGTTCCAGAAGTAATCGCTTGAGAGCTCCCCAATGCATTCGTGCGATTTCCCTATCGCCCCAGACTCGCTGGTTCTGTCAGCCGATCAACCACCCAACATGTTGTTTGAGAATACCTCTGCATTTGCAAGGAGGCCGACGCCAATAATCGTCCAGTCATCACAAGGTCCCTGCAGCCGCTGGAGGCTCTGGTTTACCGCTGCGAGTGTTCGTTGCTTAAACTCGATTGTCTGCAAAGATATGGGATTTCCTCTCATTCCAGCCAAGTGATGCGCCGCGTGATGGAGCATTCCTAAAAATGGGATCTCATTGTTGCGGTAGAGGTTGAACAGGTCCCAGCACGCTCGTGGCCTGCGAACCGCCCTGGCCCAATGTCTGTGGACAAGCGAGGGGATCACAAAGTAGTCTGCTCTGACTTAGCGCACATACAAAAATATAGCAGTGTATCGAGTAGAGATACGGGGAAACCCACAATGGTCCACGAGTGCATGTACATCACGGGTGGCCGGGATAGGATAAGAATTGAAAGGATCCGCCCGCCCGCCTCCCAATCGTGGCAGAAATGAGGACCTCTCTATCCACGCATGTCGCACAGCAATGCCAGCTCCATCTTCGGTATGTCGATCCCCTTCGTTGTTGGGCTTGGAATTGTTGGGAGCTGTGACTGAGGGTTTCGTGGACTCGGCCTCGGGCCCCTGGCCGGACTCCAACACAGCGTTTCCTGCTTCATATCGCTTTCGCCGATAGTGTTGCGTGGTGACCCATGATCGCGTCTTTTTCCGTTGAGCTCTGCTGCTTAGTCCCTCGATGAACTCGAATTGCTGTTGGAATCTGCCAGCGGTCTTTCGGGGGGCATCAAACTTGGATTCTTGCATGTCAGGGTCCCCCCGGGGGTCGTTGGCACTGGTTGGTCCTCCTCTGCTCGTGGCTGCTGTACGCATTTTCCTATCTTCAAAGTCATGGTGGGAGATTTGATAAACCTGTCACATACGCCCAGGCACCATGCGCAGATGAAGGAAGCGAAAACGATGCAGTGCACAGTTACGACTTGGTACACTTCGGAGTATGACATTTAGGTCCTGTCTTGGGTGGCGCCTGCCCTTCCTGGCGCTCCGAGTTCTGGGTGTCTCACCGCTTAGTCAGTGGCCCTGCCACCGAGGTCGGGTGCCTGTGACCCCTATGTATGTACTGGGTAACAGCCCGCCAGCCCTAACAAGATGCCCAAGACTACATCGGCCTAACTAACTCCCGCCCCCAAGCTCCATTAGCGCCGTAGCAAGGCATCATTGCCATCCCGACGACTCAACGCTCATATCTATCCGCGATGTTTTGAACTCTCGAAGCACCTTTATCCCCACCAGCACAGTACTCCCAAACATCAAGAGATTCCCTTCTAGCAAGATTTCTACATGACAGTCAGTGAGGTGAAAAGAGCAGCGACAAGAGGTCGAATATTACTCTGGGCCTTGGATTGTTGTATGACTGCTGCTCCGTCGTGAAGCGGGCGGGCAACGCCACTGGCCGTAGGGAGCCCTTCTGTGGCAGTGACGGTGATAGTCAGCAAGGGTGGAGTGGGCAGGATCGAGACATTTGGGTAGGTAGCTGGGGGGTTGGTCTGATTGACCAAGAGGGCGTACATGACTTCGAGCGCCGAGAGTTGTTGACCGAGTCCTGTTGTCCCATCCCATCTATCCACATACCATTTACTCCCACAGGTGTTGTTGTTAGCACCCCCGGTGCATGCTGCTGCTGCACCTTGGGCGGAAGCTCGCAGAACCTGACCAATTCGACCTGCCGTGAAAGGCGCCATCTTTGACGTCGCAGCCATCCACCGAATGAGGTATGCTTTCATGGACAGCTGGTCGACATTGCAGGTCACGGAGATCTCGCATTCAGCCTCGAACAGGATATTAGATGCATTTCGGAAAGGACTGATGAATGTGTTTGTCGAGTCGAGCAGGCCAGCTGTGCGCTCAATCCAAGGCGAGGAACCATTGGTGTAGTTCTGTAGCACAGCAGCACCGTAGAGGAAGACACCAACGTTGTAAGTCCACTGATGGTGATCGACTCCTGTGCAGTTGACCAGTTCATCAGTCCCGTCAAATACATTGTAGATATTGTCTACCAAGCCAATTCCTGACGCCCAATCCCAAACTGTGTCTGCCCAACGCACGTATGTTTGATTGCCTGTGAACCTTGCCAGCCTTGCCGAGAGTTGAAAGAATGCGCCGTTTGAGATGCTGTTCTTGTAGTAGTAGCCTGCATTTTGAGGATTGAACTGCCATTTTAGACCTCCGTTGCACAATGAAGAGTTCCAGCGAGAAACATAGTCTTCCCAGGCGTTGTTGACAATCTGGAGCCAGGATGGATAGGGCGCAGGTAGCTGAGGGAACGAGTATTCGGCAGCGGACATGGCCACAAAGACCCAGAAGGCTTGGTCGTCGCTCCCGGTGTCGAAGGCCTCAGCAGGGACGACAAAGTCATTGTTAGGACCGAGTTGAGCAATCAGTCCTTCTTGCATAACATCGACGTAGGTCTCATCCCCGGTGTAATGCCAGTACTCTATCAATCCGCCCCATACGCCGCCACTTTCCCACCAGTAGTAGGGCGGGAATGGCCATTTCCCTAAGACACCTCCCATCTGGTTGCCATTATACAAGTCGATTACGTTGCGAGCGGTCAAGGACGCCGCCGCAAGGATGGATTCTGGCAAGAGTCAGTGGGATATGAGACGAATGAGGATCGGATCAGACTTACGCGGATCATCGACATCAAGTGCGATACTAGCAGCATTTTGTGATAGGAAAGAAACGAGAGTGATTATAACAGAAGCGAGAGATCGAAGCATTCTGCACAGTGTGCAGTGTGGTTGTTGAAGAACGAAGGTACCTAGTCGAAGTTGATGTTGATGGCAAGAAGGCAACAATCGCAGACACCTGGTGGTGAGGTCTGCTGAAGGAGTGACACCGATAAGTGTAAAAGGAATCCAAGTCAACGTGAATCGAACTGCTATGCTGGTGATGGACGGTGTTTGCATTTCCATCTGTGATTTCAAATGAGCAAGCCCACACTCACACTCACACTCACACTCACACTCACACTCACACTCACACTCACACTCACACTCACGGCCGTCAGTCGCCACTGAGTTGGATCATCGCCTCCGCCCTCGCTCCAGCGTCCCATCCGTTGTTTTATTTTCTGATATGGCCAACGCCATCAAAGATGTCGGGCACTACCACCCGACCAGCGATGGTTTTGGAGCCATGTTATTGCGCAATACGATGACGACCTCCGGTTGGCGATTGGTAGGAGTTTTTGCTGCAGGGTTCAGAAACGAGCGCACAACATTGGGTGTATTCAACGAGACCGTCATGCCGGCAGCCGCTGCGCTGCTCCCACTCCTCTTCTCTAATTCGAGCTCAATCGAGATCGGTCTCATAGAGTCGTCGCGCGAAGGCGGCTGGTGCTTGTCTACTTCTCCATCTTGTCGATAGCTTCTATCTTTCCGTGATGCCAACACTGAGTCGCGGTGAAGGTCAGGTATGAATGTGTGGGCAGTCAGTGCGATGAGGATGAAATTGCTCAGAGCATGCATGATTGAACTGTGCATATGCAAGGGGGAACTAGACATTGTCCTACCCAGCTTGCCAGAGACCTTACCGGATACAGGCCTCTAGTCGTATTTGTGGCTCCTTTTGGATCATCTAGAAGCGAATCCCTTCACAAGCGTTGCAATCAACGACGGCTGCAAAACATTCTGGCTCTTCCCATGGAGTTATCGATTCATCTTACTTGCTCTAAGGTCGCCCAAGGCGAACAAAACTCCACTGTTCGGAAGCTTTCCGCCTATCCCGCAACGAGGTCCAAGAAGCACGGCTTTATTCAGCAAACCTTAGCAGCATTGGATTGGTGCCACTGCGGAAGGACATATGCCAATTGGGAAAACGCACAATGCGCTGCTTATGGGACTTTACGCCTGGGGATATAAAGCCGTTGGTCTCGAGCTGTGTGAGAAATTCGACTGAAATTTGACTTTCTGATATTCGATCACGTTCAGGAAAGACCATGATTGACTTTCAATTGTCGCCAGAGCAGCTAGCAGTCCGAAATGCTGCCAGGGGTTGGGCAAAAGCTCACCTTACAACAGCACGCTCAGTATACGAGGGTCAAGGCGCCTCGTCGGTAAAATGGGAGGATCGCTTCCGCTCGACTCAGCCAATTTATGCTGAAGCGGTCAAAGCCGGCCTGATCAAGGCTCAAATTCCAAAAGAGCTTGGTGGCGCGGGAGGTCCATTGATCGAAGCAGCTCTGGTTGTCGAGGAGTTCTATGCCGTCGAAACCAGCGCTTCTCTGACGATCCTCGGGACCGGCCTTGGCTTGACACCATTGATTATGGCTGGAAGCCCGGCCCAACACGAGAAATTCTTCAAGCCTTTTCTCGAAGGTACCGGCACGCCGATGGCGAGTTTGGTCTTCTCTGAGCCTGGGGGAAGCGCCAATTTTGCTGAAGCAGGAGCACCTGGTTTCCAGACCATTGCACGTGTAGAGGGAGAACAATACGTCATCAGCGGTGAAAAGGTGAGGGTTCCCAATCCGACCAGAACGGCTTGCTGATGGAGACTAAGATCTGGGCAACAAACTGCTCCGGGTGGGATGACCGAGGGGCAGATATTCAGTGTGTCCTGTGTCGTGTGGTTGGATCTGCCCCAGCCGAGGACGTCCGTGGTCAGACTGCCATTATTATTGTGACCCGAGATGACATTGCCGCGAACGACCCGAGCGCCTATCAGGTGCTATACCATCCTGAGACCATTGGGCATACGGCTGTCAACGGCCCGCACATTCGATTCAAGGAATTGCGCGTTCCCAAGTCCAACTTACTGGCACCTCCGGGCAAAGGCGCCGATGTGGTGGAAATGACATTCACAGCGTCAGCGGCTCTGGTGGGCGCTATGGGCGTGGGCATCATGCGGCAGACATTCGACCGTGCTTTAGTCTGGGCCAAAGTGGAAAAGCGAGGTTCACAGGAGACGATGATTCAGAAACAAAGTGCGGCGGATCTGTTGATCCGGATCAAGACTCGATGCGAAGCTACGCGGGCTCTGGTATGGAAAGCCGCGCATTGCTTTGGACGTACGCGATATGGGGCCGAGCTGTGTTACGAGGCCAAGATCTTTGGTTCAGAAAGTGCCGTTGAGTCGGTCATGGACGCAATCAATCTGGTTGGTGTTTCTGCATATTCGAGCAAGCAACCCTTTGGGGACCTTCTGAACGACGCCGTGGTTTTACCAATTTTCGATGGTGGTAACGTTGGGGTTCGGCGGAGACAGATTGAGAGCATCTTTGCAAGCGAGGGATATGACGCATGGGAGACAACATTCGGACCAAACCAGTGACACGGCAGAAGACATGGAATCGGAGTAAATACTTGTAGTGCTTGACCAGGGAGCGAGAGTGAACAGCAAGAAAAGGCGTGGAGATGACATGCTCGGCATGCTCTGGGGTTTTCAAATGACAGGTCAAGAGTGTCAGCACCATCAGTGGTGTCACCAAATGACATAATCGCTTGGCAGCTTGGCGACAGGCCACCAGCACGCGACATCGCAAGGTCCGAGTCATACACATTCTGGTGCGCATCGTTGCTGGTCTCGCTTGTTTCAAAATTTTGTTGATTCACGTGTGGGACTCCAAGGTCCATGTCAATCACAGTCACAGTGATAACCACCCTTTGCATGCTTCACTTTTGTATCGAGATATCTTGTCACTTACCGCCTTTCTCCGATTGATTACTGCTCCAGGCAGTCGCCTAAAGTACTATGCCGAAAGCCCAGAAGGGGGCACTTCTCCAATGTGATCCTCCTCAGATGGCCATGGTGCGGAAGATCGACCGTGAGTCCAACCATGCCTACATCCTGGAAGAAATCGACGATAGAACCTGCTTGGTCAAAGAGAACAAGGTGGAGGAGATCAAGGCCAAGGTCAAGGAGTTGATGGATGCGGCCATGGGGATGGATGAAGACGACAACGACGACAAGGACAGCGACCTCGACTGATCAACCCCCCCTGCAAGGGCCCGTGATCGACTCCTCCGGGTGGCTGCTCACATTAGGACCCTTCGCTCCACGCCTCTCTTCTTCAAAGTATTGGTGCTACGTTGCCGTTCATGAAAGAATGGAAGATGATGATATTATTTCTGAGGTCAGGATGATGGCACATGATGCAGGATCTATCTCTCGGATTTAATATTCCTAGATTACAACAGCAACACGCGTGTGGGGGGCGGGAAGTACATAGGAATGCTGGACTTGTGAAATATCAAACAACGAAGATGTCATCGGGGGTTTGCCGACGGCGTGAGGAGCCCATTTGCCCAAGCATGGGCGCCACACAGACCGTGGGCGCGGGGAATAGCAGTCCGAAGCACAAATTCAACGTCTGATTTCGATCGACGTCTATCCTTTTTTTTTTACAAGGGCTTAAGATTAGGCTAAGAGGTGGGTTGCGTCAATCAGTTGGGGAAGATGATGGACGAAAATTGGAGAATACAATACACAAGATAGAGATAGAGCTCCACTGGGGGTGGGGAAGGGGTTTGAATGAACAAGGCGGGCCGTGATGCCACGCGGATAGAGTGTACGGAGGGTGATAGAGGGTAGGCGACTCAGTATACAGAGAGTCAGAAGGAAGCTGAAATGGGAAGGAGAACGAAGAGGAATGAGGTAGGTCTCAGCCACATGCAGGCTGATTAAGGAATTAGCAGGGGACAGCAGATCGAGGTTTGTGCATTTTAGGCAAGGGACAGGAATGCCTAATGTAGCAGACACGCAGCACAAGTACCGAGTAGTGTGTGGTGGCTTGATGCAAGCGTACAGGGTATTCGGGAGGGTGATCCCTTTGATCGTGGTTGGTGGCGGGGCTATCGGGGAATGTACTGCCACTAATAAGAGAGAATTGCGTGCCCGTACGGACTAGATTTAACGAGGTGCATACATGGCACAGCACACGGAGGTCCATGCTCTTCGGTCTCAAAGAGTAAGCTTGATGGAGAGGAGGATTTGGACGGTGTCATAATACCTACCTAGGTACTTAGGGCGTACTCAATCCTCAGTAGGAGATGTATAGGGTACTATGCCTAGTACAGAGTACATGTGATCAGTGAGATGGAAGTGAACTGGGAGTGAATTTAAAAATTGGGGGGCACCAAAAACTTAAAAAAAATGAAAATAATACGGAGTCATAATAATATTTCATTTGTTGGCTGGCTACCCATCTGCCCATTTGCCCATCTGCCACCCATCTGCCATCTGCAACTGCGACCTGCAACATGAGCCTGGCACCTGCATCTAGCCACCAATCTCATTTCTCATCTCTCTTGCCGTTCACTCGTAGCTGCCTCAATGCAATGCTCCTTATTATTGTCTGTGCATGAACCGACCAAACCGACTTGGCTTTGTAGAAGCGCTTCCGCTTCATCGCTCGAAAGTCTACACAATCCTGGTCTCTCGTCATTCCGTCCTTCTCCATTCTCTCCATCAATCCATCAATCCATCAACCCATCCACCCATCCATCCCTCATCTTCCATCATCCCTGTCCTTGCTCCTTGCTCCTTGCTTCCCCCTTGCTCCCCTGCTCTTCTTGCATTTCACTCATTCATCCAGTCACTCACTCACTTATTATGTACTCACTCAGTTCAATCCTCCCATTTAAGTCCCTTCCATTCATCGTCCCCACCTCACTTTTCCCTTCTCGCCTTTCGTCCTCGTGCAACCGGCTTCTTCGCTTATGTTTCCCTCCCCCGAACTCGAACTCTGACTTGCCTGCTCGTTTACACTTTCCCACACTTGAACCAGTCAGGATCCGGTTACAGTTCGTTCCCCCGACTTAAACTGCCCTACTACCCAACCTCCCACCATGTCCGTGACAATGACGGTGACGGAGGCGGCGATGATCCCCCAGCACTAACTCGACGCCTCCTTGCTATCCTCCTTCGCCCTCCTCTCCGACTCACCACCTCATCGGCCCCCAATAACGGCATTTTGTGCATCGAGGCTCGACGCCGGCTGCAATTGGCTTGCAGCGGACAAGCCCTGGTCTTGAAGCTGTCACCCTAACTTAGTCCCCGCTTTAGCCAGCAATCATCCTCCAAGCCTCCCACATATCCACCATTCCAAAACCGCCTCGATCAGAAAAACTTCGGATATACGGGCAGTTCCAATTCCAAGTTGCAAACAAAAGCAAGCCTTTTGACTCCCTGCGTGTCCTCATATCTTGCACCTCCATCCTGCGCTGATAACATTCTTCTTTATCACACCTTCTGTCACAGTTGATTGCTTTTCACACCTCCCCTCCCAAGGAAAAAAGATCCCCCCCACAAGCCACATCATCAAACATCCCACCAAGGCCCCAGTGACTGTCCGAATTCTCATAGCCGTCAAGCTCTCCCACGTTCGCACCTCTGTGCGAGGAGAAAGAGGGAAAGTTGCTCAACCAGCCAGAATCTAAAATCACCTTTCTTTTCGACAATCTTCCCAGATTCTGCTTTATTTTGACTTGCGACTACCCGCCCACGAAGCCCCTCATTGCTTCTAGTGACA